TCCCTTAGAGGGTCCACAGCCTGTCTAGTCACAGCTACAGCCTGCCTCCCCTTTGCCTGCTCCTTCTCCCTACGCTGGTCCGACTCGAGGTCTTACAGAGCGTCGTGAGCCTGCGTCTCGTCCTTGCGTCGCTTGTTCGTACTGCACGCACTAGTGGTCGCGGTTCGCGTCAGCGTCCTCCTCCTGTCCCTGGCACGCACCGGATGTCTCTGCGTCCGTCTACTGCTCCTCTGCGTGCCCCTTTGCCTTCTCCTCCTGCTTCCTCTCTTCCTGCTCTTGCCGACCCGGAGTCGGACTCTCGTCGTGCTGCCAGTCCTACCGTCACGCGTCTCCTTGCTACTGCCGTCATTGACCCTTCTTTCGAGTCTTCTGCTGCATCTGCCCTTGTCACTGAGCTCGTCGACTTTGCTGCGCGCTGTCGTCTAGACTACGCTGCTGGTCTTGTCGCTGAGTCTGAGTCTACGTGTCCTCCGTCCGTCGGGGGTGAGTGTGCCCTTGGCACGGACGTCCTTGAGGACAGGCAGGAGGAGTTCCAGTGTCTGGCCGCCGCTTCACCTCATCTCGCGTCTATACTGCTAGCCCCTGAGGGACACCCGGATGCACTAGACATCTCGACTCCGCGCTCTTACGCGGAGGCGATAGAGGGTCCCTACTCCTCTCAGTGGTAGGCAGCTATGGATGCAGAGATGGCTTCCTGGAAGTCCACAGGCACCTACGTTGACGGCTGTTCCCCCTCCTTGGGCGAACATCGTCAGTGGCATGTGGATTTTCAGGGTGAAGCGGCCGCCGGGTTCTCCGCCTGTCTTCAAGGCGCGGTATGTGGCTCGTGGTTTCAGTCAGCGGCAGGGAGTTGACTACTTTCAGACCTTCTCTCCCACCCCGAAGATGACCACTCTTTGGGTACTGCTGCACGTTGCTGCTCACCGTGACTACGAGCTGCACTCTCTCGACTTCAGCACTGCTTTCTTGCAGGGCAGCCTGCACGAGGAGATCTGGCTGCGTCGCCCACCTGGCTTCACTAGGTCTTTCCCTCCTGGTACCCAGTGGAGTCTCCCGCGTCTAGTCTACGGTCTCCGCCAGGCGCCGCGTGAGTGGCACGACACACTGAGGACTACGCTGGCGGCACTTGGGTTTGCTCCCTCCACTGCAGACCCGTCGCTGTTTCTGCGCACCGACACCTATCTACCGCCGTTCTACATCCTCGTGTACGTCGACGACTTGGTCTTTGCCACAGCTGACACTGCTGGACTCGCCTACGTGAAGTCCGAGCTGCAGAAGAGACACACGTGCACTGACCTGGGTGAACTGCGCAGCTACCTTGGCTTGCAGATCACCCGGGACAGAGCACGCCGCACCATTACCCTGACTCAGTCACACATGGTGCAGCAGGTCCTTCAGCGCTTCGGCTTCACGTACTCCTCGCCTCAGGCCACTCCTCTGCCTACTCGCCACTTGCTCTCAGCTCTGCCTTCAGATGAGTCCGTAGAGTCGAGTGGCCCGTATGCAGAGCTTGTTGGCTGCCTCATGTACCTGATGACCTGCACACGACCTGACCTTGCATACCCTCTTAGCATTCTTGCACGCTATGTTGCTCCTGGGAGACACCGACCAGAGCACATGGCTGCAGCGAAGAGGGTGTTGCGCTACTTGTGCAGTACGTCGGGCATGGGGCTAGTGCTTGGAGGGCGGAGTCCAGTGGTCCTCACTGGGCACGCGGACGCTTCTTGGGCTGACGACCAGGCTACGCAGCGGTCGTCACAGGGTTACACCTTCAGCCTTGGTTCCGGCTCTGTTTCGTGGCGGGCTACCCGCTCGTCTTCTGTTCTCGGCTCTAGTTGTGAGGCTGAGATCTACGCCGGGGCTATGGCTGCCCAGGAGCTTCGCTGGCTTACCTACCTGCTGACCGACCTTGGAGAGCCGCCGCGTTCTCCTCCAGTCCTGTACGTAGACAACAAGGCCATGCTGGCCTTGTGTCGAGAGCAGCGACTGGAGCACAGGACAAAGCACATTGCTCTCCGCTACTTTCAGTGCTTGTGAGCTGCAGCAGCGTGGACAGTTGCGACTTGCGTACGTGGCCTCTGAGGCCAACACTGCTGATGTCTTCACCAAGGCACTTGCGCCTTGTGATCATCAGCGTTGCTGCACGCAGCTGGGTCTTGTGCCTGTCTTGCCTCACTTGCTCACTTCTTGACCTTGCTTGTACCTTCACCTATATATACTCTTGCTCTTGCTTGCTTGACTCTTGTATATCTCTATATGTGATCTTGCATGTGAACTGGCCTTTTGGCCTTTGAACTTGTGCTCGGAATGTGTGGTGACTTTGTGATCCACCCTGAGCTTTGCTTTGCTTTGCTTGACTGGTCTTGTGACCCCTTGTTCTCCCCCACTTTGCCTATGGGGGTGTGTGAGAACTTTACAGCTTACTCATTTGTGTAGGCTGTAGCGGGGTATCCCATAGGGGGTACAATCCCATTAGGGTTTCCTATTTGTACTCACTTTATTCATAGTCATTTCATTCTCGTTCACTTCTTCTCAGTATATTGTATCAAGATTTTATTGAAGATTTTAATTTACAAAGTATAAAATTATATACATGAGCCTACATTACCCTTCTCAAAATGTTCTTCACAACAGTGATCTTGCTTGAAACCAATAAAATGAATGGATCACTAGGAATGGTATTAAGAATTCCTTTATATAAAAAGGGCCCAAGATAATGGTTAGGGACCTTCAACGGTAGTCAATGGTAGTCTCTGATAATAGCTACTATCTTCTTAGTTCCAATACAGTTTTGTATGGTAAGCTATGTACTCAACTACTTTTATACACAGCCTATGGTTATGACTTCAAAAAATGTTCAATAATCAAATGTCGAGCATAGATGTGAACCATTATTGCCTCTAAATATTGACTAAGGTGGGTACTTTATGGTGTATCGCTAGGCACATAACAACGTCAAGAGGGTATGCAGCCCTCCTAAACGACGGTCTCATGCAGAAGGTTGCAAAAGAGTGACCAGCGTTATGCCACGTTTTTATGAAGAAAAAACGATGCAAACTACTGTTTTTTGTTGGAATCTACTGAGTTTTCTATGGCATGTTCATGAGTTTGTGGTATTGATATCTCTAGTTGGGTGTTGTTTACATTGTAAATAGCTACCATGTACTGATCATATATTTTTTAGAAACTGTAGTTGTTGTTTGTAGTATCGAGCACGCAAACATTGTTTTTTCACACGTCAGCATACATTTGAACATGCACACTTCGATAGTATGACGGGGCTATAAATCATTGGCTGATACGTTTTGAAAGTCGAGTTTGAAAGTTTAAGGAGATAGTGACGAGGCGGCCTGTGATTGGTTCGGGTCAAGTGCGATTAGCGCAGCGCAATCAGTTTACACTTCAAACCTGGCGCGTGGCATGAGCCTTGTGGGCAAAGCACTGGCCTTGTTCTGTGGCGCTAACTCAGAGTTAGCTAACTCTGAGTTACCGAGCCGTGTAGGTTTGGGTGAGTACACCGACAATTAATCATTACGCTCGTGTGAGTGTTGGAGTTGTAACTCACCTTGGTGTTCTGTGGCCTCGTAACTCAGAGTTAAGGAAGTTCCAGGGGCGTTCTCGAAGTTGTTCTGGTTAAACTTTTAGTCTCAACCCAAAGTGCCGCCCCTTCCAAAAAAAACTGTGCGAAAGGGTGACCATGAGGCAAAATAATTCAACTTCACGCAGCACAGCATGGGGACTAGTTGGAAAGAACCAAATGTGGGCATTGTTGAGGTAACCCCTCTCGAGCCGTACTCAGAGTCGTGCAGCCAACTTTTACCCAAAAGCCCGAGTAAGGGAAAGCGCTAACTCTGAGTTAATTTGCCCGTTAGAGAAGATTCAGTGTATGCTTCCTACGAAGCGTACTCTAAGTTATAACTTTGTGTATGTGGAACCCTTATTTGCTAACTCTGAGTTAGCTGGCACCGTGTGATTGTAACGTTCACACGTGTAAGGCCTGAGTTATTGAAGCTACCACGAACCCAGTTTACTCTGAGTTAAAGCTCGCGTCTCCAATTTCCAAGCGTTAAATACTTGGATGGGTTTGCAGGGATGGGATTGGGTGACGAACGACGAAATTTGTGACGAGAATGTGAAACAAATAAAGCGAACTCCAAAACAGCCGAGGCCAAGACAAACCAAGGTGGTCAGGTTTGGAATGTGGACGAGCCTAAGGGGACAGGGTTCGCCTGTCAGAATATATCTATAACTGCTTGTAGCTATAGTTAGTGTAGTTATTATAAACTTTGTTTGGTGGTGCACCTTCTTTGTTCCTTTGCTATATGTTGTTGCAAACCTATAGTGAAGCCCTCTCTTTCTCCTTTCCAACTTTCTCGACACTCTCCTCAACCCTAAAACTAAGCTACTAAGAACCTAACTAGCAATGGCTCTTAAGCTTAAGTCAAGCTAGATTCTCAACATGGTATTCAGAGCAGGTACTTTCCTGCTGCCTTCCTGCTTCCGCTGCCTATCGTCCAGCCGCGCGCCTCGGGAGCGCGGCGTAGGCGCACGGCGATTTTCTGCCCGCCGTGTGCTCGGGGCGCACGACGTCTTCCTGCCCCGCGCGTGGCCTGCCCTCACGCCGCCTGCGCGCCTGCCTCACGTCCACGGGCGGGCCTGTTTTTCCCGCCCGTACCCTCCACTTCGCGGCGCCCTGCGAGGCGCCGCTCCTGCTCGTCGCGACGCACCTGCGGGACCCGGGCGTCGCCGCTCCTACTCGTCGCGACGCCCCTGCAGGACCCGCACGGCGTCGCCTTGCTCGTCGCGACGCCACTGCGGGACCCGCGGGGCGTCGCCACTGCTCATCGCGGCGCCCCCTGGACGCCGCCCCTACTCGTCGCGGCGCCCCTGCTCGTAGCGGCACCCCTTGGGCGCCGTCCCTGCTCGTCGCGGCGCCCTCCCCCCTAGCCACCACCTCTGCCTCACCTGCGCCCGCGCCAGAATTGCAGCCGCGCGGGGGCCTACCTTGCACCAGCGCCACCCATGGACCTCAGCAGCCGCCCCTGGACCCCGCGAGCCGCCCCAGCAGCAGCCCACGGCGCCGACCCTACAGCTGTATGCGCCACCGCTCCTGGACTCGGTATGCCTGTGCTGCCTGTTGCCGCTCGTTGCTGCCCGTGCCTGTGCTGCCTGTTGCTGCCCGTGCCTGTGCTGCCTGTTGCCGCCCGTTGCTGCCCGTGCCTGTGCTGCCCGTTGCCGCCCGTTGCTGCCCGTGCCTGTGCTGCCTGTTGCCAGCCCGTTCCTGCCCGTGCCTGTGCTGCCTGTTGCCGCCCTTTGCTACCTGTGCCTGTGCTGCCCGTTGCTGCCTGTTGCTGCCCGTGCCTGTGCTGCCCGTTGCTGCCTGTTGCTGCCTGTGCCTGTGCTGCCCGTTGCCGCCCGTTGCTGCCCGTGCCTGTGCTGCCCGTTGCCGCCTGTTGCTGCCCGAGCCTGTGCTGCCCGTTGCCGCCCGTTGCTGCCCGTGCCTGTGCTGCCTGTTGCTGCCCGTGCCTGTGCTGCCTGCTGCCGCCCGTTGCTGCCTGTGCCTGTGCTGCCCGTTGCTGCATGTTGCTGCCCGTGCCTGTGCTGCCCGTTGTCGCCTGTTGCTGCCCGTGCCTGTGCTGCCTGTTGCCGCCCGTTGCTGCCCGAGCCTGTGCTGCCTGTTGCTGCCTGTGCCTGTGCTGCCCGTTGCCGCCCGTTGCTGCCCGTGCCTGTGCTGCCCGTTGCCGCCTGTTGCTGCCCGAGCCTGTGCTGCCCGTTGCCTCCCGTTGCTGCCTGTCGCAACCCATGCCTGTGCTGCATGTTGCCGCCCGTTGCTGCATGTGCATGTGCTGCATGTTGCTGCCCGTGCCTGTGCTGCCCGTTGCCGCCTGTTGCTGCCCGTGCCTGTGCTGCCTGTTGCCGCCCGTTGCTGCCCGAGCCTGTGCTGCCTGTTACTGCCTGTTGCTGCCTATGCCTGTGCTGCCCGTTGCCGCCCGTTGCTGCCCGTGCTTGTGCTGCCCATTGCTGCCTGTTTCTGCCCGAGCCTGTGCTGCCCGTTGCCGCCCGTTGCTGCCCGTGCCTGTGCTGCCTGTTGCTGCCCGTGCTTGTGCTGCCTGTTGCCGCCCGTTGCTGCCTGTGCCTGTGCTGCCCGTTGCTACCTGTTGCTGCCCGTGCCTGTGCTGCCCGTTGCCGCCTGTTGCTGCCCGTGCCTGTGCTGCCTGTTGCCGCCCGTTGCTGCCCGAGCCTGTGCTGCCTGTTGCTGCCTGTTGCTGCCCGTGCCTGTGCCGCCCGTTGCCGCCCGTTGCTGCCCGTGCCTGTGCTGCTCGTTGCCGCTCTGCTGCTGTCTGCGCCTTTGTGCGCTCTGGTCTGCCTGCGCCCTCGTGCGCTCTGCTGCTGCCCGCGCCCTCGTGCGCCCTGCTGCTACCCGCGCCCTCAAGCTAGATTCTCAACATCGCCCAAATCAAGCCCTGAACGACCCACCTTGACGACTACAGCATGTCGCACGAAAATACAAAACTGAAGTGTCTCAAACAGAGTGCAAACTCAACCAATTCTAGGGTCCCGTCACTGAGCACCTTCCCAACCGCCACAGAAACAAGGTATGCATTCGAGAGCACGCTATTATTAGGGACGGGAAGAGATAGGTTAGGGATAGGCGAGGTAAGAGTAAGGATGGGCGGAATGAGGGGCGAAAGAGCCTAAATGCGATAAGTAATTGCAATATGAATGCGTCAAGTGCGGAACGAAAATATAAAGGGCGAAATGAGATGACGACGGCGGAACGCGAGTCAGAGAGGCGGAATGGTCCCGCATGACGGGCGGAAATATGTGTATACGGGTTGAATGGGAAGAAAAAGGGAGGAAAGGGAGGATGAAGGGCGGAATGACAATAGGGAGCGCGAAACCGTCGTAGCAACGGCGGAATGAGAGTAGGAACGGCGGAATGAGAAAAGGGACGGCGAAAAAAGAGAAGGGCTTAGTGGAATGAGAGTAGGACCGGTGTAACTAGAGGGTGAACGGCAGAAAAAGACCTTGAACGGCTAGAACCAGTAGATGAACGGCGAAATGAGATGATGAATGGCGGATTATAGTAGGGATGTGCGGAAGGAGTGGATGAAGGGCGGCATGGGAGAAGGGATGTGCAGTGTGAACTCGGAATGACGGGCGGAAAGGCGATAGAGGGCGGAATGACAGGCGGAAAGGCGATAGAGGGCGGAATGACGGGCGGAAAGGCGATAGAGGGCGGAATGACGGGCGGAAAGGCGATAGAGGGCGGAATGACGGGCGGAAAGGCGATAGAGGGCGGAATGACGGGCGGAAAGGCGATAGAGGGCGGAATGACGGGCGGAAAGGCGATAGAGGGCGGAATGACGGGCGGAAAGGCGATAGAGGGCGGAATGACGGGCGGAAAGGCGATAGAGGGCGGAATGACGGGCGAAAGGCGATAGAGGGCGGAATGACGGGCGGAAAGGCGATAGAGGGCGGAATGACGGGCGGAAAGGCGATAGAGGGCGGAATGACGGGCGGAAAGGCGATAGAGGGCGGAATGGGAGGGGGAGATGGCGGAAGAGGGAGGAATGACGGGTGAAATGGCGTCATAGTGCGGAACGGGAAGCGGAGTGGCGAGAGAGGGAGGTTTTGCTGGGCTGAAAGGCATCCCTTGGATGTAGGCGAGTCGGGATGACATGCGAGGGCAGAAAGGGAGGGGGAATGGCGGTAGCGGGCAGAATGGGAGGCGGCATGGGAGGCGGAAAGGCGGTAGAGGGCGGAATGGGGGGTTGGAATGGTGATAGAGGGCGGAATGGGAGGGGGAAAGGCGGTATAGACCAGAATGAGATGCAAAATGGCGGGTCCGGGAGGAATGAGATGGCTTTACATGTAAGGTTGGGCGAGGCGGAAAAGGCATTACATGACTGAAATCGAGAACGAAAAACACGCAGGTCAGTGGGGGGAGGGAGGTGAGGTCAGATGGGGGAGGGAGGTGAGATCAGATGGGGGAGGGAGGTAAGGTCCGTGGGGGGAGAGAGGTTAGGTCAGATGGGGGAGGGAGGTAAGGTCAGTGGGGGAAGGGAGTTCAGGTCAGTGAGGGGAGGGAGGTAAGGTCACATGAGGGAGGGAGGTAAGGTCAGTGACAAAATTAGAAGAAAGAAAGAGGGTTGAACTAGCAGAAATGGGGATACAAATAGCAAACCCTAGAAGGGTTGTACTCGCTATAGAGCACCCCACTACAGGCTAGAACATAAGATAACATTCTGACACACCCCCATAGCCAAAGTGGGGTGTAATCAGCAGAGCAGGCAAAGCAGTACAAGCTCAGGGTGGATCACAATGTCACCACACATTCTGAGCACAAGTTCAAGAAGCAATAGTTTAGAGTTCACAATTATGAGCAAAGCTACTGGTAGTCACAACGGGCAAGCTAGGAGGAGGAGAGTGAGTGAGGGGAGAGGAGATAGGAGGCGACGGCTGAAGCTGCAGACACACGGGCAACAGGAGGCAGACTGGCACAGCGGCTACCGGGCGAAGCCCCCGGAATGCAGGAGTAACAGGCCCCGCGGCTCAAGTAGCGGCAGACGGGCAACGGACCCACGGGCGGCTGGCACAGCTGGCTACGACTGGGCTACCGGACGAAGTCCCCGGACTACAGGTGCTGCTGGCGACACGACGGCAACCTCCGTGCAACTTCCCCATACAGTCCCACCCCTCTGACACACACCCGCTGCTACACCGCTAGCTCCACTCCCACGCACCCCCCTTAAACCCTAAACCCAGTCTCCCACACACCCACCCCCCTCAGCGACAGCTGCAGCAGTGGGAGACGAAGGAGGAGGAGGAGCAAAGGGAGGAATGCACACCGGCATCCCCCATACCCGCCACCCCACAGCTCGCCCCTCCCGTCGTCCGTCGAGGCGACCTGAGGGGGCCGCTTGGCAGGGGGAGGGGGGGGGGGGGGGGGGGGGGGGGGGGGGAGGCGGTGTGGAGGAAGGGGCCCACCACGGGCCTGGTAGGGTCGCAGGTAGGGAGACGGGGCCGGGGCCGGGGCCGCAGGTAGGGCGGCGGGACGACGGGGCCGCGGCCAGGTAGGGAGACGGGACGGCGGGGCGACGGGCCGCAGGTAGGGAGGCGGCCCGAGCCGCGCGCGGGCCTGGCGCCGCACATACAGGCCGCGCGCGGGCCTGGCGCAGCCCGTACGGGCCGCGCGCTGCCTGTACGGGCCGCGCGTAGGCCACGACGGGCGACGGGAGGTGACGACCGAGTCCCCGTCGCCCGTCGCGGCGCCTCCCGAGGGCGACGCGCCGGTCGACGGGGCCGAAGCCCGCCGTGCGCCTCGGGGCGCACAGCGGGCAGAGAACCGCCACGCGCCTCGGGGCGCACGGCGGGCAGAAAACCGCCGCGCGCCTCGGGGCGCACGGCGGGAAGAAAAAATGCCGCACGCCACGGGGCGTGCGGCTCAGAGAGTAGTTGATAGTAGTAGGAGTAGGAGTTGCAGCGGAAGCAACGAGGTGGTAAGTCCACCCACAGGATCGATCCAAGGGGATCGACCTACTCTGATAGCATGACAAAATTAGAAGAAAGAAAGAGGGTTGAACTAGCAGAAATGGGGATACAAATAGCAAACCCTAGAAGGGTTGTACTCGCTATAGAGCACCCCACTACAAGCTAGAACATAAGATAACATTCTGACAGTCAGATGGGGGAGAGAGGTTAGGTCAGATGGGGGAGGGAGTTAAGGTCAGTGGGGGGAGAGAGGTAAGGTCAGATGGGGGAGGGAGGTAAGGTCAGATGGGGGAGAGAGGTTAGGTCAGATGGGGGAGGGAGGTAAGGTCAGTGGGGGGAGAGAGGTAAGGTCAGATGGGGGAGTGAGGTAAGGTCAGTGGGGGGAAGGAGGTTAGGTCAGATGGGGGAGGGAGGTAAGGTCAGTGGGGGGAAGGAGGTTAGGTCAGATGGGGGAGGGAGGTAAGGTATGATGGGGGAGGGACGTAAGGTCAGATGGGGGAGGGAGGTAAGGTCAGTGGGGGTAGAGAGGTAAGGTCAGTAGGACCTTACCCCCCTCCCCCAATCTCCCATCCCGCCATCCTCTTCGATCACCTCCCTTCCCCACTCTCTTCCCAACATAACGCCCAGTCATAACTACCTTTGCCCCGTCCTATGTCCTCGTCTCCAGGTCCAAGGAAGATGTATCGGTGGGATTCTCGACGGCATCGTCGGATCCGGCTGGGGTTCGGGATGGGAGTTGAAGGAGAGGAGGATGACGAGGAGGGTATGGAGGGACAGGCGGGATCAACCTCTTCCGTCCCCTCCCGACCCGCAAGGAACAACAATGGTGTACGTGGTCGCTCGGTAGTTGCCAGCAGTTGGCGGCCCGTTGAAAGGGTGACCCGACGTAGGGTTGTACAGCCAACTGGGTTGCCGCCACAGCTTTTTTATCCTAAGGAACGTTGATCCCTGTCAGAGTTTGCCATCGAATGTTCAAAGCAAAGCTCTGTGCTTGAACAGTGGGCCATAAACGAGCTCGGTCTGGGGCAGGAAAGTGGTGATACGGATGAGAGGGTTACTGTTGAGAGTGTCCTGCATATCTGTCTTGGAAAGAACACGCTGGAGGATGCAGATGGGCAACCAATAGTAGCAAAAAACCACCGTTTCCGTTGCTACGTCGAGTACTCCAAACTGTTAGGAGACCACCCGTTTGCACACGTTACATTGCCATGGCTTGTGTACGTAGTCATAGGGTCACTTTATCCAGAGCTTTCAGATGAAGGTTACGTGGGGTGTAGCCAGGCAGATGTAGACTGGTTCACGTCTTGGACAATCCCTAGTGAGATTGACTTCACCATGCGCAGCCCCCCGGTGGGCGTGGATGTAGCAAACATGGTCGAGACACAAGAGTCGCGTGTTGTGTGAATATGCATGTTGTAATCCTTGTGTGAGTAAATGCTAGCCATCACGTTTGCTAGTGTGTATGCTGCTAAATTGTAGCAAAGGTTGCTCTTCGAAGGAGCAAAGAACATGTATCACTACATCATTACACCTAAACCAGTCAACCCATGCTTGATGTGATGCAGGGTACCACCATGGGCACACTTAGACATACACAACCTCTGCAATTCTCTCCCCCTTGATATGTAGCGCCGTGCGTCGCACTCTCCCCAAACATGTTTACAGTAGCAGCACGAAGCCACATGACAAAGTTGGTACCACGCGTAAATAAAACTAGCTTAGCAACTGTTTTGCGTGGTTGTAACACTATAACCGTACATGGGTCCGTATTTCGCCAACGCCCTCTCTCCTACCACACTTTCACCAACGCCGTTCTCTGCTCCCTCTGCTCAGTTGCCTGCCAACGCTGCGAGAGGTGATGGTGGGGGGAAAGGGGGGAGATGGCGAAGGGGGAGGTGAGGTCAAAGAGTAGATTTGGTCATAGGGAGACCGGGAGGTGAGTATAGAGGGGCCTTGCTGCCGATGGGTCAGACACGGAAGGGTTGGTGGGCCAATTTGGAGGGGGGGGCGGGGTGCTGTGTGAGGGCAAAGGGGGTTCTGGCAGGGAAGAAATATGTGGTGTCATAGGGGAAAGTATCCTGAGGTCAGATGGGGAAAGGAGGGGAGGTCAAAGGGGGAAAGACGATGGGAAAGAGAAAGGGCGAGATGTTAGCAAAGCGGAAAGGAGGAGAGTTCAGAGGGAGAAAGGAGGAGAGAGCAGACGGGGAAGATAGGTGCGTAGGGGGATGAGGTGGCATGGGGGGACGGCATAGGAGAAGGGTTTAGGGGAAAGGGAGGTGCTGAGATGAGGGGAAAGAGGGCACATGGCATGCGGTGCAGAGGGGAGGAGACGAATTGGGGGAAAGGGTGGAGATGGAAAGGACAGAGATGGAAAAGGGAGAATGGAATTTCTGGCAGATGGTGGAAGGGGTGTGAAGGCATGGATGAAGGGTTCAGACTGCACAGCAAATAGGATGAACTATTCAGGGGGAATGGAGGACAGGCCAGAGAGGGGAGGGAGGAGAGTTCAGCGGGGATGTGTGGTGAGTACAGCGTGGGGAGGGGAGGTGAGTTCCTCGGGGGAGGGAAAAGGAGGTGAGGTCAGAGGAGGGAAAGTAGGGTGGTTCTACATATGGAGGGGAGGTGAGATCGGATAGAAAATGAGTGTGAGGGAAGGGAGGGGATGAATGTGAGGGCAGAGGGTTCAGATGTGATTGCAAAGAGAGATGGGAGGTGATGGCGGTCAGTAATAAATGGTGATGGTAAGGGTCCATGATAATAGGTGCCTAAGGGAGATGAGCGGTGATGAAAGATGTGGGCGGGAGGTGATGTGGCAAGTTGGATGGCAATGGGAGAGGAATGGCAATGGGAGAGGAATGATGATGGCTATGAGTGATGAGATGATATGGCATAAGGGGATGTGAGGTGATGGCCATGGGAAATGAGAGGTGCTGGCATTGGGAAAAGAATGGTGATGGCAAGGGGGGATGAGAGGAGCTGGCAACACCCAAAATCTCACCTCTGAATATACCTATCTTCTACCTCCTATCTCACCTGAACACCCCTCATCGCTCCCTCCCTTCACAATCTCTGACCTACGCTCCCTCCCTTCACAATCTCTGACCTACGCTCCCTTCCCCCTCTCTATGCACCACTCTACCCCCTGTCACATCCTTGCCTTCCCCCTAGACAGCACCTCACACACAGCATCCCATCCCCCTCTGTCAGCCCCTCCACTAACATATCACCTCTTTCCCCCTGCCAGCACCTCCACTAACCCTCACTAAGCACCACCCTTCCCGCCTCCCTTCCCCCTCTCCCGCCTCCCTTCCCCTTCTCACAGCACCTCCTCACCCTTCCAAGGGATCACTTCCACCCGGCCCGAGCAGGGTACAATTTTAGTTTAGTGCTTACGGGTTATATGCTCCTCCGGCTTTCATGTGTTATACTTACTACTATCATTTTCCCCTTTGCACGTTGAATAAAGTGTTCCCACGAATCCCTACTCCCTCCCTAAACCTATCAACCCCGCGCACCGCAACTCCGTTCCCCTTTCTTCTAGCACTTATCTTGCCTCTCTGATCGCACCCCCAGTCTGACTCTCACATCACCTCCAAACCCCCTGCCAGCAGCTTCATTTCCCATTACATGCACCTCGATTACCCCCCTCTGTCACCTTCCTGTCCCCCTCCCCTGTTTGCCTACATTCCCCAAGGGTCATCAACTCCCTTCCACCTTCCTATGCACTTTTCTCACCTCAGTTTACCCCTCTGACAGCACCTCTTGCCCCCCGAGCCAGCACCTTTCTCTCGCGTCTCTCAGCACTTCCCTTCCCCCTCCGACCTCACCCTCATTTCCCCCTCCCCTCACCTCCCGTCCCCCCTCTGACCTTACCTCTATTGCCCCTTCCATCACCTATCTTCCATCACTCACCTCCGCTCCCTTCCCCCTCCCAAAGCACTAATCCTTCCCCTCTAACCTCACCTCCATTCCTCCTCTCATCTCTCCTCCCTCCCTCTACCTGCTCATCCAACCCCCCGCTTCTCACTGCACCTCCATGTCAGAGATTTTTTTGATCAGCAAAGGGGGGAATGAGAGGGAGCAGAGGGGAAAATGCTGAAAGGTAGAGAGGGGTATGAGAGGGAGCATAGGGGAAAATTATGACAGGCAAATGGGGGTATGGGAGGGAGCATAGGGGAAAATGATGACAGGCAAATGGGGGTATGGGAGGGAGCATAGGGGAAAATGATGACAGGCAAATGGGGGTATGAGAGGGAGCATAGGGGAAAATGATGACAGGAGTCCCTATTTCCACCCGGCCAGTACCTACCTTCTTCTGCTCTCTCTGCACCTCTCTTCCCCCTCTCACAGCACATCCCTTCCCCCTACCTCGGCACCTCTCTTCCCCTTCTCAAATCGTTGCATCCCCCCCTGCCAGCACCTCCCTAACCCACCCCAACACCGCCTAACTCCCCCCGGCCAGCACCGCCCTTCCCCACCTCGCAGCACCTCCCTTCCCCATCTCGCAGAACCTCCCTTCCCCCTCTCATAGTACCTCCCTTCCCCCTCAGTCCTCTTTTCCATTCCCACTGTGACATTATCTCCCTACCCCCTCTGTAAGCACCTCTCTTCCATATCTAACATCGTTGCATTGCCCCATCAAGCACCTCCCTTCCCCTCTCACAGGACCTCTGTCCTCTCCTCCTTCCCCCTCTCAGTGCACAGTCTCCCCATCTCTGTCCTCTCCTCATCCCCCCTCTAAGTGCACTTTCTCCCCACCTCTGTCCTCTTCCCCCCCCCCTGTCCTCTCCTCTCCACCTTCCCCCTCTCAGTGCACCTTCTCCCCCACCTCTGCCCTCTCCTTCTTTCCCCTATCGGAGCACCTTCCCTCCCCCCTCTGTCGTCGCACATTCTTTCCCCCCTCTGTCCCCTATCGGAGCACCTACCATCCCCCCTCTGCCCTCTCCTTCTTTCCCCTATTGGAGCAACTTCCTTCCCCCCTCTGTCCTCGCCTTCTCCCCCCCTCTGTCCTCTCATCCTTCCCCCTCTCAGTGCACCTTCTCCCCATCTCTGTCCTCTCCTCCTTCCCCCTCTCAACGCACCTTCTCCCCCCCTCCGTCCTCTCAGCCTTCCCCCTCTCAGAGCAGGCGCTATACGCGTGTGTGGGTGTTTTGCGCGCGGCAGTTTTGTAGGCGCGTGGTGCCTACTGACGTGGTTGCGCTTTTGAGAAAGGGGGTTCGTTGCATTACTGTGGTTTGGGCGCTGATGTTTAGTAGGCTCATGGCTAATGCTGCCGGTGCGCGCGCATATGCCTTGGTGGCGCGTGAAATTACAGTCGCATGAGCACTGATGCTAAAGAGGCGCCAGATGCCTACAGCGGGGCGCACTCAGCTGCTTGCGGTGTGCGCGCTGCTTACACCTGGGTGCACGACCCTTAGGGGGTGGTGTCCGCGCGCTCACCGGCAGCCTGTGCGCCTTTCACGCGTCACTCATTTGGCCTATTTCCTTACGGCGAGCACCTCCCTTCCCCCTCTAACAGCAACTCCCAACCCTACTCACACATCACCTCTTTCACCCTTTCACAGCACCTCCTTTCACCCTCTCACAGCACCTCCCTTCCCCCACCCTCCTCACATCGCTTCCCCCACCCATTCCCCCTCTCACAGCACCTCCCTTCCCCCACCCATCTCACCTCCCTTCCCCCTCTCTAGTAGAGCCTCCCTTCCCCCTCTAACAGCACCTCCCTTCCCCCACCCACAGCATCTCCCTTCCCCCTCTCACAGCTGCTACCTTCCCCCTCTTACAGCTCCTACCTTCCCCCTCTCACAGCTCCTCCCTTCCCCCTCTCACAGCACCTCCCATCCCCCACCCACAGAATCTCCCTTCCCCCACCCACAGCATCTCCCTTCCCCCTCTCACAGCTCCTCCCTTCCCCCTCTTACAGCTCCTACCTTCCCCCTCTCACAGCTCCTCCCTTCCCCCACCCACATCATCTCCCTTCCCCCTCTCACAGCTCCTCACTTCCCACACACAGCATCTCCATTCCCCATATCACAGCTCGTCCATTCCCCCTCTCGCTGCTCCTCCCTTCCCCGTTCCGCCTCTCATTCCGCATCTGAAGCCGCCTCTCCTTCCGCCTCTCATTCCGCCCCTCCTTCCGCATCTCACTCCGGCTCTCGCGTCGCCTCTCATTCCGGGTTTCTTTCCGCCCCTCAAAACGCCTCTCATTACGCCTATCTATTCGCATCATCCCGCCTCTCAATCCGCCTCTCATCCCGCCTTACACGCCGCCTGTCGTTCCGCCTCTCGTTCCGCCTCTCATTCCGCCTCTCGTTCCGCCTCTTTTTCCGCCTCTCATTCCGCCTCACATTCCGCCTCTCATTCCGCCTATAATTCCGCCCCTGCTTCCGCACTTCACACCGCCTCTCAGTGCGTCTCTCATTCCGCCGCTCATTCCGCCTCTCACGCCAAGTCTAATTCTGCCTCTCATTGCGCCTCTCCTTACTCCGTATTTAGTTTCGCCCACCGTTACGCCGCTCAAAACGCCTCTCATTAGGCCGTGTAAGGCCACTTATTACACTACAGCCGTTCACTTAGTGCTCGTAAGGGCCTCGTACTGCGCGGGCCTACGATGTCGACGCGATTCTAGGGGCCCACATTTCTGGCGGGGTAATCTCCCGCAAATTGATTAGGCTCACCTAATCAAGGGTCGGGCGTTTGGGCGATGAAAGCCGGTTCAGGGCAGCGCGGCGTGGGCTGTGGATTGTCTAGGGATAGAGATGGCGGTCTATAGTCTATGACAGGTCGCGTTTTTGTCGAATGCGAATGAGATTGTAGCAGTGTAGGTCATGATGGGCATACGAAGTGTGGGGCATCGAAGTTTTGGGTGAGGCTTTCTAACCACTTAGCGTTCGTCGTGCTCCAGTCGGGGACATGTGTCGAGGGAGGTAAAACACTTGGTGCAGAGTGCCTTTTGATATATTGACGAGTTCCCAGTCTCATATTTCTGAGCTGAAGATCCCAGCGGAATCAGGTCGACGGACCCGAGTTGCCAGGGTCGACGAGGGGGGTCGATGGACAGGGGTCTGACGAGGCGGGCGAGTGACGCGCGTGGCTTTTCTTCGTTGGAGGTGGACTGGCCCCTCATTTTCGCGTTCTCGTTTCTCTTTCATTTTTCCTCCCACCTCGGTGCCTTCCATACTCCCACCGTTTCTTCCCTTAGCCTATAGCATAGCATCCTCGCTCTCCCGCCATGGCAGCCGGCCAGGAAGCCGCCGAAGCGGCGCCGACCTCGCTAGATTTCCCCCTGCATCTAGACATCGGTAGAGGACACACGGCCAAGTTCGAAGAGCACGACTACGCCGTTCTGACAAACCCTATGCTAGAGTTTAACGCTCGTTGCTTGGGACTCGGTCTCAAGTGAGTGTCTTATGGAGATGTCGTCGTCGACGGGCCTATTCCATGCTGGTCGGCCATGGCGGGGTTTCAATGCGTCCAGTAGTATATGTCGACGGGCTTAGAGTTCAGGCACATCACATCGGTGATGCCGACGTAATGCGTTAGGTCGTCGACGACGCTGAGTTGTGCCGAAGTCGTTCGGCTCCCGTCATTCCACCGTCGTGCCGCGCACCTATACCTCTCTAATTTGTTGTAATCATGCATGCGTGCGGGCACGCATGGATCCGCTCAACGGATGCAGGCGAGCGATTGTGGTCGATAGGAGTCGGCCGGCTTCGGGCGGCGATGGGTCAGGACGACCACACATGCTTTGCGACGATTTTCGACGCCGACGTGGCGGTTATCCCATTGATATCGAGGTGAGCAGGTTCGAGGTCCTGCTGTGTGCTGCAACCTGTGTCGGTGATTTGTTCTGAGCGCCATCGACGTGCCTTGTCTGTGCAGCATCGCACCGCTTCCGGGAGCACATTGCAGCGTCGTTCTCATCCTGTGCCCCGGCGATTTGTTCAATGCCTCGGGGCAGGAGGTCAGGACCTCGATCCGGCACGCCGACCCGCAGACAGTGAAGGAGTGGCACCGCGACGAGGCGATCCGCGTGCTGAAGTGAGCTCGATAGTTTAGTCGACATCGCATACATTGTCGACACGGCGCGTGCACCGTGCTAACCGACCGTCCTTGCCGTGCTTTTGCAGGTTTTTCCGGACCGCTGTTCTGGCCGAGCTGCGGCGCGAGGGTAGGAAATGGGAGTGGGCGAAGCCGTCCGAAGACGAGGTGCAGGAGAGGCTCGCCGACTGCGACGAACCCCTTCGAGATGTGAGTTCCGGACGATTCGCCGTCATATGGTGTCACATCTACGCCGCCCTCATCCTTGCTCTCTGCACTGTTGTATGCAGAAAATTCCCGATACCGTCCGGGACTCGGACGCGGGCTCCGGCCTGCTAGCAATGAGCGCGTTGATCTGGGTTGTGAGGCGGTTCCAGCGCCTGACCGGCGACCTCCGTCGCATTGCCACCAGCATGGACAAGCCCACCGTCTCGGGGTTGAAGGCGCTGCGGAACGAGATGGTAGCCCTCATCAAGAAGCAAGTCCCGCTCATACGGTCGGGGAAAACCGTTGTTGCTGCCGACGCCTGTGACGACGACGGCGAGGAAGTCCATTCTGCATCCGTACCAGTAGGGGTCGCCCCGAACGTCACTGATGCGCGTGGCAAGTCGGGAGTCGGCGTCGACGAGGCCGATGCGGCCGCAGGAAAGGGGGTGACCGGGACTGAGGTTGTTCACGGGGATGATGATGGGGTCCAGGATCGCGAGGAGGAACGTGAGGGTGAGGGGGGCTCGGACGAGTCGTCGGGGTCGAGGTCGGGGTCGGGATCGGGGTCGGGCTCGGAGTCGGAGTCGGAGGAGGAGGAGGAGCAGGAGACGCAGGAGCACGAGAGGCAGCACCAGGAGGAGCAGTTGGTAGAGGTGGAGGACGTGGAAATGGCGGAGGGGTACGTTGTCGGAGGAGCGGAGGAAACGGGTGGGAGATCGGCGGATGTCGAGAACGACGAAGGGGAGGGGAAGGGTGCGACAGCGAATATCGGCGAGGTCGGCGTGGAGGCGGCTCACGGAGGTGGTGGCATGGTCGAGGTCGGTGAAGGGGATAACGCCGCGGTCCCGGAGCAGAGGGGCGTGGATGTGCATACCGATGCCAGCGCGGAGAAGGCCGGCGGGGAGCGGTCTAGGAGGAAGAAGGCGGCGAGCGGTCATCCCGGTTCCACCGCGGCTGGGCGGCAGGCGCGGCTGGACGTCGTCGATCAGCTGAGGGCGGAGAACAGGCGATTGCGTGCAGACAATGCACTCCTTGAACGGCGGCTCGGTGAGCAGACGGGGCGGGTCGACAGCTCGGCGGCGGCATTAGCTGGGCTCCTCGAGAAGGTGAAGGGTTTGACCGCCCAGGTCGCCGACACCGACCGGAAATCGGAGGAGCGCCTCAAAGAGGCCACGTCGACCATGGCGACCACAATCACCTAGGGCCTCACCGACAACATGGACAGCGCCATTCAATCGGCCAAGTCCTTCGCCGAGCTAGCGAGGCAGACGCTGCTGGATCTTGACGAGCCCAAGGGACGAGCAGCGGTCGCACGCGCGACCGCGGTGAAGACAGTGACCGAGCACGTGACGGCAGAGGTGGGCGAGGCGAGGAAGGGGTTGGAGGAGTCGTTCATCAAATACATCGGCGCCGCGCAGACCAACATTGCCGCCGCCGTCGCGCCCCGCCTAGTCCAGCCGCCGCCGCCTACCGGCCCAGCGCAGGCCTTGCCGGAAGATTTCCTGAAGTCTTTCAAGGAGGACGTGCTGAAGGCGGTGACGGAGACCACGCAGCAGTCCTTCCTCGCCTCCGGACTGAAGATAATGGCCGAGGTCGTCGGCACGGTGGCGTATGCTCGGCGTGGGTCGTCGCCGTCGGCAAACGACGCCGGCCAAGCGCAACCTACGGAGGGCTTGAAGCTGGGTCACAAGAGGCGGGGAGGCGGCGGGGGGGGCGACGGGGACAATTCGGCGAACACGAAGCGGAGCAAGAGAGGCGGGGGGTCTGGCGGCGGGGGGGGGGGGACGGAGACGATTCGGCGGGCGCGAGGCGGACCAAGGGAGCGGCTGGTTCTCGCGTCGCCGGCGATGGGAGCATGGGAGCCGGCGACGGCAGTTCGTTGAAGCAGTCGGGGAAGAGCGTGGTCGACATCCTCATGAAGCACTGGGCTCAGGTTGGAGCGGCCAGCACGGGCCATGGTGGTGGGGGTCCCGCCGACGAGCATGCCACTGATGACGCACTGCCAATGGCTCCGCCTTCGGTCGGCGTTAAGCCACCACGACAGGGTAGCGGTGTGAAAGGCCTGCGCGACAAGGGGAAGGCCGCCGCCAAAACGGCCCCAGGCGGGTCCGCGAAAGCTGGCCAGGGCCCGAAGACAGGGGTTGCGGAGGCGTCAGCGGTTCCTCACCAGTCTCCCGCGGGTGCACGCCATCCGACCGGACCGTCTGCCGGGCGACCTACCGACGTCCCGCGCCATGCCGACGTACCGTCTGCCGACAAGGTTGGCCGCGCGGGAAAAGGGGCGGCAGTTGCGGACGCGCTCAAGGAGCAGCTCAGGCTCCTAGCCGGCCACAGGGCTGTTCAACAGGCCCCCCCTGCTGTCGACGTCCCATCGGCCAGTGGGCCACGTGTAGTGCCGGTCGTCGCCGCCCGTACTCCTGCAGACCCAAAGTCCGCGTTGTTGCGCGCCCAGCTGGGCGCACTAGCGTCGACTGAGAGGACTCAGCAGGCTTCTGGCTCTGGCTCTAAGCCGTCGTCGGCGAATGTCGCACCACCCACCCATGTGGCAGCTGATGTGGAGAAGGCGGCGGAGAAGGGCGTTCGTGCCGCGCTTGCCACCGGCGGCGGCGCCGTTGAGGAGGTCCCCGCAGACGCTGATATCGCTGCCATACAGGCCCATCTGGATGCAGCCAATCCCCGAACCCTGGCCATCTCCGACACGGAACATGTGGAGCCTTCGGCGGGACTCGTCGGCATCGCGGCAGAGCCTAGTGCGACCGGTGATGCGGTCGGTGAAGGAAAGTCGGAACGGAAGTGGAAGGCGGGCTCACAGAGGAAGACGCGGGAGAAGTCGGAGGTGAAGGCGGCGGATAAACAGAAGGGGATGGCGGCGGAGACGGCGGCGGACAAAGATCGAGGCGGCATTGGGGAGGTTGAAGGGAAAGGGGAGAATCAGGAGAAGTCGCCCGGCGAGGGTACGTCGACGGGGAGGAAGGGGAAGGACAAGTCGGTCGGAGAAGGTGCGCCGACCGGGAGAAAGAGGAAGGAGAAGGCGGTCGGCGAGGGTTCCTCGAAGGGGAGAAAGGGAAAGAGGAAGGCGGAGGAGGAGGATGAGGATGTCGAGGAGGTGGAGGAGGTCGAGCAGGAGGAAGAGGAGGAGGAGGAGGAGGAGGAGGAGGAGGAGGAGGAGGAGGAGGAGGAGGAGGAGGAGGAGGAGGAGGGGAAGGGCAAGGAGAGGAGGGGTCATGGCATCCGACACGATACCTCGGGCGACAAGCAAGGGTGGGTCGGCGAGATTAAGGTGCACGGCATCAATCGATACATCGGCAAGTCGCGGGACAAGATGGGGCTCGCGTACGTTCACTCCATCGCGTACGTCGTCTACGACGGTTTTGTGAGCAAGGTGCTCATGACCGAGCTCACCGGCTTGGACAGCGCCGAATTGGAGAGGTGGAAGGAGGTGTGGGAGGAGGTCAGGATCTTGCCGACAGGGATGTGGACGGTGATGTGGGCCCGGGGTACGCTCCTTCCAAAGACACGGTAAGTCGGTAATCCTCCGATTCAAAGTCGATGTCGTTGTCGTTGTCACTAATGTTCGCCCTGTTTGTGGTGGCGTGACAGGCTGACAGAGATCCTCGACGCGTATCGCCATTACAAGTCCACAGGCGATTGTCTCCACGCCGCGCTCCTGCCAGCGATATGGTACCCAGTCGATGCTAGCACCGAGGAAGGCCGGGAGAAGTCGGCGTTCATGATGTCGGCGATGATAGGTCGCGTGTCAATGTGCGCTGCATATGGGAAGACCGTTGCGGCAACGGCGAAGAAGGAGGGAGACAAGGAGGAGAAGATGGATATGGCGGCATGGGCGTTAGCAGCATCCGCATGCGCTGTGTGGTGCTTCGTCGAGAACGGCGATGCCCAGCTGGCGGATGCTGTGGAAGAAGGGAAGTCGGCGGCGATCATCGGCGGAGCGAGCCAGGCGACCGCCGACGTATTCGGAAAAGTCATGGAGGCGGTGCTGAAAGCCGAGATGAACAGGGACCGCCCCCTGGGAGAGGTTGCCTACAACGTCGCGCCAGCACTCCAGAGGACCGCCCTTGATAGGGTCTATCCAGGGGGGAATGCTGGAGTAGATGCCGACGTTATCGCTAGAGCGACGGTTGAGACGATGGCGTTTTGGGGAATGTGCCCCGTCGCCGGGCCGAAACTAAGAGCGAGGGACATCGCGGTGCCGATTGACGCGCAGATGAAGGCCGATCTTGACAACAGGGGGAGGAAGGGTCTGAGGGGCAAGAAGGGGACGAAGACCAAGGGCGGCACGGAGAAGGGCAAGATGTCGAAGAAGGACAGCACGACGGCCTAGTCGACGGCCTGCTAAGATTGAGTGCTGCGTGGACTCGATGATGAAATGGTCGATATCGTTTTCCTTGTTTTGGCTGTCGGATCCCTTTGATGCTCTTTCTTTGTGTTTTTTTTTGTGCGTGCCTGTCTACTTTACGTAGGATGAGTAATGAACACATTAGCTAGTAATGATTGTCTACTTCAGTTTGAACGACATGTGAATGCCCCGCTAGGCCAAGAACAACAGGATCATTGTGAGAAACAAAAAGTCGACATCAGTATCAGTATGAAACATAGGCATGCTGCATCAACATCTACAACATGCAACAGGCCACAGCAGCAGGAGGCCTGGGAACATTCAAGCGGTTTTCTTGCGCTTGGTCGACTTATTGGTCGGAGGCAGCTGCCCGGCGTCATTTTTGCGGGCCAGATCGGCCAACGTCTTCTTCATCTGCTCAACCCAGGTGTCCGGGAACAGGTCGGCGACCCACGTTTCGGGCTTTAACCCGCGCGCCACGAACGCACAGGCGACACGAAGCTTGGAAAATTCCGTCTTGCCGAGCCCTTTGACGCCCTTACCCTGCCCAGCATAGGTCGCTACGGCGTCCGCGTTGAGCACCGTGAGGGCATCCGCGAAGGTCCCAATGCCAGGCGCCGCTATCTTGTTAAGCGCGTCGACGGTGGCTTCCGTGTCGGCTTCGCCGTCGCTCCTGCGAAGCTGGTGCACCGCATCGATGACCTTCATCATGCGGCGCACCCTCTTCCCGTGTGCTCCCTGCGAGGCTCCGTCGAGGAGGGTGTGGCGGTCGACGAATCCCAGCTCCCTGAACCTGTCGCACAGACGACGGGTGTCGGCGCTGGTGCACGAGGTCCAGAGGCGCCACGCGTCCTTGACGGTCGTTGCAGTCCGCCAAGGCTGCACTACGTTCAGCTCGTAGCTAGCCTCCTCGACCGTCTGTGGGGGTTTGTTGGGTTTGTTGGCTCCTCCACCCCTGCTTGCCGACTCCGCGGAGCCACCGACGCTCGGCGACTGGTCGTTAGCAGCTGGCGGCGCCTCCGGCATCCTTCGAGCTTCTGAAACGCGGAGAGCCTCGGTGAGGCGTGTTATCTCGGCCGCGAGCGACGCGATGGTTGCGTCGCGATTCTCGATCTTCTCCTCGAGGTCGAGCTTCTGGACCGTTGACCGCTCCCTCTCGAGCTTAAGCGTCTCCGTGAGGGAGATGACCGCGAACTGGGCGTCATGGCGGACCGATATCTCTTGCAATGGTAGGCGAATAACGGTGCAGATGAGGGGTTGTAGCGGTCATAGATAACATCGCGACGTCGGCATAAAAGATGACCTACCTCTGGCTGGATGAGGGTTGGATCTTGCCGCTTTTTTATGGTGTCGGTGTCGGTCTTCTCGACCCTCTTCGCCCAGTGCTGGAAGAGGGGAATCCGGCAGAGCTTGGAATACTGGATGTACGGGTGCCAAGGGGTGCGGACGAGTTTCACCGCGAGGTCCTCGGCGACAATGCGGCGGAACATCAGAAGGGTGCGCCAGAAATGCACGGCCGCAACGTCGGCGTTGGACCCCTTCTTCGCGAGTTCTTCTGCCTGCAGTTAGACATCAGACGTGGGTTATTTCCGTGGTGGATAGGACAGTACCATGCAAGCTTGGTCGGCACCGATAAACAAACCTTGTTGAGGAGGTCGTCGACGCCGGGGAAGATGTGCTCGGCGATGAGAGCGAGGAGTTCGTCTCCCGGTTCCACCCTACTGCGACCCAAGAAGTAGTCCTGCGTGAATCCCGAATAGCCGGCCTTCTTCATCACCACGCCGACGGGAATGGATGTGATGTAGGCTCGAGTCATCTTGTCGAGAGCCCAGTGACCCAGCTCGGCTATCTCGGCGCGAGGCGTACCTTGGATGGCCAACTCCTGCGCCCTGCCTGCCCGAGCGGCATGGACGTTCCGCTTGCAGAACACCCCGTTTGTCTTCCACATCTGCCTCGTCCATCGCTGGTGGCTGGGAGCTGAGAGTTCGCCCTGCTCGGGGTCGTTGCGGGCGAAGAACAGGTGCTTCTTGTACCAGAGCTCGCGTGTGCTGGTGTCGACCGGCGGAATGAGGTCGACGCCGTGAAACTGGCCGATCTGGTCGAGGACGAAGTGTAACCACAGCCCGGTCTCGCCGACGGCGCACAACTCCGCTTCTAGGTGCCGCGCCGCGTAGCTCTGTTGAAGACGCGCATCCTTCGATGTCTTCGAGTTCCGCGCGGCGACCACCATGACGACCGGCTGGTTATCCGGGTTCACCGACGAGGTGCTCGCCAGTCGGTACAGGAAGATGTCGGGGAGCGTTATCTCGCGTATGCTTGCACCGCGCATGAGGCTGTGGTGGGAGAGCAGCGTGAGCACCTTGATGAGAAGAAACCTCCACAGCGTCTGCGAAGGTGTGGTGAAATGCGGGCTCCATGCCGACGCCGCCCAAGCCGGCAGCACCCTCGTCATTATCTGGCAGAACTGTTCGGCGGTGTATGTGTCGCCGATGGTGCCGCGTCGACGGTCGGCGCATTTACTGTCGACATAACAATATATGGATATGAATATTAGGGCGAGGAACACAAATCGATGGCGACATAACACGGCGATGCATGCCAACTTACTCGAGGTCCCTCTGATTTTTCGTGCGGACCATGACCCGCACCTCCGACCGGACCACCGAGATTTCCCGCATGATGCCCAACTCCTTCTCCTTGTAGAGCGTCGCCTCCACCCTCGCCGCCATCTGGCAGGCCTTGATGCGGCCGAGGATCATGTGCACCGTGTAGGCTCGCACTGACTCGTTCGTGTCGGCGTCGATCTTGTACTCCCGCCTCATGAACTTGATGTAGGCGCGCAGTCGCGTACTAGTGACCCGGGGGCCGTGCAGCCATATGTGCTTCCGCTTGACCACCTTCTCGTTGTCCCAATCCTTGCTCTTGTTGTTGTGTGTCCAGTGCCCTATCTCGTCGACGTGCCTCATTTGTTCTGCTGTCGGCAGTTTGTCGCCAATTTTTTTAAGCATCTTCGCCGTCCACCTTTTGTAGTCGTATATCCATGAGGTGTAGGACTTGAGCGTGCTCTTGGCCTCTATGGTTTTCAGGTGGCGCATTGCCTCCATCACGAGCACGTCGACGCACGCGTACACCATATCTTCCTCTACGAAGTCGGCCGCCTTCCACATTTCTCGAGGGACCGACGTGTGCAGCAGATCCTCAAGCTCGTTCTCGTCCAACAGTTCCTCTATGAACGCACGTTCCCCCCTGAGTTTTTCTTCCAACGTGCGCGGACCTGCACCACGTCGGGGCCGCGGGTCGTCTTCGTCGTCCTCGTCGCTCGTCGATGAATAATCGTCCTCATCCTGGTCGCCCGATCCGTCCGGCACAGACGACGGCCCGGCCTCCCCTGCATCCGTCGGCGTCGACGTTTTGCGTGGTTTCGTGAACTCCCCTATTGTCACGGGCGTAACGTCCTTGGTGAACTCTCCCTGCGGGATTTGGGCCAGGGCGTCGAGATCGTAAAGCAGCGGCAAAGTCGACGAGGGGTTACTGGTCGGTGTACGGTCTACCGGGCGGACGTCCTCACCCTGGCTAGCGGGGTTCGGAACGTCCGTCATGTCGACATCGGCGGGGGGTGGGTTGGTTTGCGGCGGTGTCGAACGAGGCTGTCCTCTGGCCATGATACGGCGACCTAGGGCGATGGGAAGTCGGCGTGGTGAGGTCGATAAACTACTAAATGCGTATTCTATGTCGGCGGTATCTGGCAGGTCGGGACAGCAGACAATCCTACGAGAGGTCGGCGACCACGTCTGCCTACTATCACGACGCCGACGTTACGCCTCTAGAGAAAATCCAAGTGCCGGCCGTCAAGTCAGTGGTACAAAAAAAAAGCAATGGCACACACAATGGCAGGCGGAATGAGCGACCATTTCGGGGACCACGGATGGGTATGGTCGTGAGCGACTCCGCACCACTTGGCGCTCCACGCAAACCCCAGTGCACGACGCCGCCATGCATGTACGCTCGTGCGGCGGCGCCGTGTCCGACGTGCCACCAGGCGTGCATGGCTGCTTGCTTGCAGCGCTTCGCTCATCATGCTCTTTTCGTGGCTGCTACACGCTGGCTCTTTCGTGCGGCAACGTGGCGTGGTCCCGAATTAGGTGCACCTCGGTAGGTTGAGGTCGGGAGACACTGCCGTGTGGCACCACGATGATGCTCTTCTGGTCGACGCCGACATTCCCGCATCATCAGTGTCCACTGCACGTAGCCATAGATAGTGGACGGCCGGATTTCTCCTTGCGCATGTGAGCAACCGTTGGATGAATGCCGTGTGGTATGCACCGACCTTGCCACGTTCATGCGCGAGATTCTCCCAAGCGAAGCACCCCGACCTTCCGTTGGCCCGTCGTGTCCAACCTGGCAGACCTCGGTGGCCCCGCCATCCAGGGGACTGTCTCGGGCGTCCCTTTGTGGCCGCGTGGCGATCATCGCGGCCCGACTTGCCGAGCTGGTATTCTGACACGCGGCTGAGACGTCCTTCTCGGGATTGCCTCAGCGGAACTCGAGGTCGACAGGTCGTCGACCATCCCGAGGGCTCACCAGCACCGGGCCCAGCCAGATAGGCTGGGCTTTCCACGCGGAGGTCGTCGTGGGGTCGTCAACCACGAGGAAGGGGGTTGTCCGTTTTGAACCGCGAAAATGGGCGGCAGTTTTCGTCGGCTGAGCTATACTATGCTGTGTAAAACGCTTGGTTTGCAGGGACGAGAGGGCGACGGTCCCGTTGTCGCACGATGGGCGCATTCTCAGCTTTGTTTGTCGCGCAGGTGAGTTTGCCAACCCAACCTGCTTTGGCGTATTTGCTCACCCAATTACAGTGCACGTTGCAAACCCAAACCACCCCACCCACACTTTCCCGAATCTCAACCCTTGCATGGGTGTACTTTGCGACAAAGAAGTCTGTTACCCTATATAAAGCGTTTAACACTTGGTTGGAAGGGCGTAATTGGAGACGTGAGCTTTAAGGAGCCACAGAACAAGACCACTATGTCGAAGCGTGTAACGTGGTGTCATGTCGAAGCGAGTAACGTGGCGTCATGTCGAAGCTGCTCGTGCTCGAACATTGCCGAACCAAAATTCCACACTCTGAGGAACGAATTAGCCAATCGTTGTGTCATCAAAGGCAAATCGACCTGAATCTGCAAACTGCCCACCGACATACTGTCTAGCCCGGAAAACTCCATTTCGAACTGTTAATAAATGTCAAAATGACGCTTGCGCGGAACCGCGTGATGAAAGGTGGCGCGTTCGCATTTCAGGTTTTACAAAAAAATCCCCGCAATATAAAAAATTCACGATGCCGAAGCCCGTGCCGCGGTAATTCTCTCGTCTCAACCAGAGCCATCAAAGCTGTATGTTGGTAACCACAGGGTGTTGACGAAACATGGAGATCGAGTTCGCATCACTCTACCTACAAGATTGATGTGTAGCGATGGGCTGGTGTTAGCGCATCTACAACGAAGACCGATATGGTGCGAACCCTGATCCAACCAGGAAATTTGTGAGGCGAAACAATTTTCGATCGTCATCTGTTCGCCACGCAAGTTACACAAGCATGGCCATTGGAGTTCCCAGTGCCTTGCTTTTCTGGTGAATGTTTCAGGACGACTTTTGTATCCGTCTTCAACTGAAAGGCGTGTCGCGCCGACACTAGCCTAGACTGAACTAGATCGTGCGGTTTCAGATACCGCGTCTCCTATTGAACCACCCCTCGAGACTCGATATCCGCATCTCGAGCGAGTGCTTCGCGAGCGTCCCGCGGCTGTCCCGCGAGCGGCGCGCGTAGCGGCGAGAAAGCCATCATGGCGGTGACGGCGGCGAACCTGTCGACGTTCGGCGGCATCGCGACGGTGTCGCTCGTGCACTCGCTCATCCCCACGCACTGGCTGCCGTTCAGCGTCGTGGGACGCGTGCAGAAATGGACCATCCACCAGACGCTCTCCATCAGTAAGGAACGCTTTTAATTCGGAGACATTTCACAACCAGTTGCGAGCACATTCTAACCATCCATCAGAGCATCTCCATTAGTAGGAAACGTTTTGAACTCTGAGTCTTCTCACAGCCGGATGCGAGCAGATTTGGACCACCGCCGATCGATCTCCATCAGTAAGCATTTCTCCAATGCTTTCCGTAGCTTTCTAACCATGCTTTTTTTGGCAAAGTCTTGCGCATAGGTCGTTTTTTGAGTCGACTCAAAAGTCGATTTTAGGCAACGGCTTGATACGCATAGGCTGCCGTTCAGTGACGCGATCGCGTGCAGAATTGGACCATACAGTCGACTCCGTCCGTTCGTAGCGGCACTGTAGCATGTCTAAACCTCCTCGATACATAAGGGAATCTTTTCTGCATTCAATCGCAATCGCATGGTCGCTTTGTAAGGCGCGTCCCCGACGCTGTAACGTGCTGGAGCATATATCGTTCTGGCCGTGTTACAAGTACCCCTTTACACAGTCCGCATTCCGCGTCTCACTGTCCCCTTGCCCTGGCCTGCCCTGAACTATTAATTCGATTTGAGGGTACGCTCCGGGCTTTAATTTGACTGTGGCTGCATCGGTAACCATGGACGAAACCCTACACACAGCCACTGGCTAGCATTGAGGCATGCCTTCGACCCTGGAGGAACTATGGTCTATCAGCTCAGCCCTAGCCTCGCCCTGACCCTCCTGCTTTTCCTTCCTCCTTCCTCCCCCATTTCCCGCCTACCCCTTCCCTCCTCCCTGCAGCGGCATTGGGAGCATTCCTGCACGTGCTATCCACGTCCATCCTCGGGTTCACCGCAGTCACCATGGCACACACGCTCGCAGGGGAGGAGGCAGTAGAAGCCATCGCGTCCCTCCTCCTGCTCCTCCTCGGCGCCTGCTACATCGCCCTCTTCCTCCTCACCCACCTTCCCTTCCCTGTAACCATTTCCTTCCCCCTGACCAGCGCCTCCTGTTTTGCCCCCTTCCAACCCTCCCCCCTCTCCCTTACAGCCGCGCTGGGAGCATTCCTGCACGTGCTATCCACGTCCATCCTCGGGTTCACCGCAGTCACCATGGCACACACGCTCGCAGGCGAGGAGGCAGTGGAAGCCATCGCGTCCCTCCTCTTGCTCCTCCTCGGCGCCTGCTACATAGCCCTCTTCCTCCTCACCCGCGGAAAACCCTCCCACTCCCACTGCCACGCGCACGCCCACCTGCCAACAACCATGGCTGCTGCTGCCGCCGCCACTGCAGCCGCCACCGGAACCTCCTCGCCTGGTGGCTCCGCTGCTGCGTCGTCGAAAAGCGCGAACGCGAGTGGGAAGCCGGAGGGGATGGAGAGGATCGCAGTGCTGGGGTTGGTGCTGGTTCCTGCGCTCTCCCCCTGTGCCACGACTCTCCCGGTGTTTCTGGCTATCAGTGACGCGTCGGTGGGCACCATGGCCATTGCAGTGGCCGTGCTGCTCGCCTGTACGCTCTTTGTCATGCTCACTCTTGTAGCGCTTTCCTTCTACGGGGCTTCACAGGTGAGCTTGCTTTCACATGTGGCAGCAATATATGTGATGCGCCCTTCAAGGCTCTCTGTTGCTGCTCGCCTGCACGCTCCTGTTGTCATGCTCACGCGCGTCGGCCTCTCCTACGGGGCCTCCCAGGTGAGAGAGATGGTCTGAACTGTGTATGACGCTCCATGCTGGATCGCAGTGGCAGTGGCTGTGCTTCTCGCCTGCACGCTCTTTGCCATGCTCACTCTCGTCGCACTCTCCTTCTGTGGGGCCTCACAGGTGAGCTTGACTTGTCTGTTTGTGATGCTCCCTGGTGGCTTGTGTCGTGCAGGGCTGAAGATTCAAGGGCAAATGCCCTTAATGCCCTGAACATTAAGGGTTGGGTTCGGCCCAGCTTCCGAATTTTAAGGGTTGGCTTTGAGGGCAGCCCTTTCCCGCAAAGTGCTGGTTGTGGGCCTAACCTGGATTTCAAGTGCAGATCCCGCGGCTAGCCCGTATCGTCACATACTAATACCTCCCTCCCTCCCATTCGCTCACCAGTCCCCCCACCTCCTCCCAGCCACTCCTCTACTTCCTTCTCCCATCCCCCTCAAATCCATCGACATGTTTCGTACCTCAGCCTATTGCCTAGCTGGCTCTTAGTAGTTTGCCTAGGATATGGTATCCTTGGCGAAGTGCTAAAAGTTGGTAGCCCTGATTTCAAGTGCCAGGTTTTCTCTCAGCCCAGAAATTTCAGGGCAACTTTTGGGGCACCTCAGCCTCTCAAGTTCTGGCTCCAAACCAATCGACAGCCCTGGTGTCGTGCTCTTCTCCCTTCTCTGCGTTGCAGGTGACGTTTGGGTGGCTAAGGCGTTACAAGAAGGTGGTTGCCATGGCTCTTCCCCCTTCTCCTCCCACCTTCCCTTTTCCCATCTGGCCTCCTGTCATGCTCACCCCCTCTTCTCCCAATCTCTTTTTCCGTTTTTTCATTTGCAGGTGAAATTCGGGTGGCTGGAGCGGTACGAGAAGCTGGTGGTGGGAGTGATCCTGTGCGCCGTGGGCATTCTCACTCACCTCTTTCACCACCATGACCACCCACACGGGCACCACTCACACGGGCATGCAGGGCATGCGGGGTCTGTGTTTGCACCAGGGCACACTGACATCATCACAGCTGGCACCATGCTGAGCCACCACCACTGAGTGAACTGGAGGCACTGCTGAGGGTTCTGTGCGCCTTAGGCATTCTGACTCACCTCTTTCACCACCACGACCATTCACACAGGCATTCACACGGAAATGAGGGGCATGGGTTACCACCAGCACTCGTCTGTGTTTGCACCGGGGCACACAGGCATCATCACAGCTGGCACCATGCTGAGCCACCACCACTGAGTCACGTGAAGCCATTTCTAGGGCATGAGGGGCACTTGGGAGGGGGACATGAAGGGCGCTTGGGGCACCACCAACACGCATCTGTGTTTGCATCGGGGCATACTGACATCATTACAGCTGGCACCACGCTGAGCCACCACCACTGAGTAAAGTGAAGCCATTACTAGGGTATGAGGGCCATTTGCAGGGGGGACATGAAGGGCGCTTGGGGCACCACCAACACTGGGCCACATTGGCATCATCACACCATGCCAAGCCACCAGCACTGAGTGACGTGAAGCCATCGCTATGAATCCACTGGCCACGAGACTTTTGCTAGCGATGCTGCTGCTGCCGCTGTTGCGGCTGGTTGCTTGATGTGTTGGGTTCAAAGTTCAGACACCCTTGAAGCCCAATTGGTTCTTTGCATATCCTGCTCATATGGTTATACGGTATTACGGTACTATATTATTATTGTGCATGCCATACCTTGTATGTCTGATGTTACCCACTGTTACCTACATGTAGTTGCTGACCACGAATGGAATGTTCATGAGTCATGACGTAACTTCAATCAGTAATGTAACAGAATTTCGTACTTTGTTATGAATCAACTTGCAGAGTGCGCAGTAAAACGAATATCGAGAATGATTGAGTACTGAACGAATAAACAATGAAGTAGCGAGGCCTAAATAGGGGAAAACCTAGCTAAGCGGGGGGTTCGGGATGGGATGGCTCGGTGATGGTTACGATTGGAGCGGAGGCCGACTCGGGAGTGGTTCGGTGCGACGAAATAGGAAGGTCAGGTTCGTCGCGTGACCCTCGGGATGGCCTCGCTAACGAGTGCCTCAGTAAGGATTTGTAAATACTTACATACTTTCATTTCTTCTAGATACACAAATGGTATAAGGTACCGGTATTGCCATTTTCAGCTGAAGGCCGCTACAGGAGCTCCCACATCTGTGGAGTCTGGTCTGGTACATGCAGGATCGCTATTTAGAGTGCAAATCTTGCACCCAGTAAAGGTAAGCACAATTACCAGCATATCAAATGCGCCTCAAAATCAGTGTTCTAGGTGCCTAAAATGCTATTTATAAAGCACCCTATTGGTGCTACAGTTAGCACGGATGCAGCAGAATGAGTTAGTGACTGCATCCAGTGGAGACAAGCGTGAGTGAGTCCCGTAGTCTGGGCGTATGGAGGGAAAGTCATCAATCCAGGGAGGGTAGTCTGGCTGGTAGCAGCAGCCGGTGCTTGCCTGAAGCACCCCTCAAGCACTGGAGAGGGTACGAGGCGTGTCTAGATCCCTCCCCATCAGCTCGTGGTGACTTTTGAGTCGACTCAAAAGTCTACGAGGCGTGTCTAGATCCCTCCCCATGCAACTCCCTCCCCATCAGCTCGTGGCATGTGACAGTCAATTGAAATTACTAGTTGAGGAATGGAGTCGTGCCCTAGAGTAGAAGGAGAGGGAGTTGGAGAGGTAAACGGAGCCGTGCACTCTAGCAGTGGCACAAGGTGCATGCACACCCCCTTAGACAGCAAACCCATTGCGTCAGATGGCTCGCGGCCTGCAAGTCCATCTCCATCAGTGCGTGACAGATGGCAGTCAAATGGCGTTGTTATCGGGAGAGCAAGTCATGCCAATCAGTAGAGGGAACGGGAGCTGTGCCCCTCAGTAGAGGGAACGGGAGCTGTGCCCCTCAGTAGAGGGAACGGGAGCTGTGCCCCTCAGTAGAGGGAGAGGGAGTCATGCACTCTAGCAGTGGCGGCAGGTGCACCTCCCTTAGACAGCACCCCCCGGGCGTCACAGATGGCTCGCGGCGGCTCCAAGTCTCTCTCCATGAGTGAGTGGCCCTGCAGGCGCTGCATCTGCTGGGTGAACAGATTGTCCAGCGTCTGATGGGAGGGTGGGTGGGGGGACGGAAAGTGGGAAGGGTGGCATGAAGGGAAGGTATGTTTGGATGCGGAGGCGTGCGTATTTGGAAAGGCCAGGGGAGGCGAATGCTCCAAGTCTCTCTCCATGAGCGCGTGGCCCTGCAGGCGCTGCATTTGCTGGGTGAACAGATTGTCCAGCGTCTGATGGGAGGGGTAGGTGGGAGGGCAAAGGAGCGGGGGGGGTTGCGGGACTTGTGGCTGTGGGAATGGAAGAAGAACCAGCTCCACGTGCCTCTCCATGAGCGCACGGCCCTCTCCATGAGCGCACGGCCCTCTCCAGAGGCACCCTCAAACCAGACACCCCTCCCTCCATTGTCTTGAGATGTTTCCGAACTATATCCTTATGAAGCTGTGGCTTAATCGAGGGTGATGGCGATAGTGCGTAGACGAGGGCAATAGCAGCTGTGCCTACATCGAGAGTGATAAAGAATTGTGCTTACATCGAGCGTGATAGCAGCACAGGCGCTTTTGAACCACGATACGCCCTCCCTCCGCTTCTCCAGGAAATGCGTCACCTCCCGCCCATACCGGTCCCACAGGCCCCTCGCTGCTTACTCACTGCCCTACAGCATTGACTTTTGAGTCGACTCAAAAGTCTTACTCACTGCCCTACAGCGTTGACTTTTGAGTCGACTCAAAAGTCTTACTCACTGCCCTACAGCGTTGACTTTTGAGTCGACTCAAAAGTCTTACTCACTGCCCTACAGCGTTGACTTTCGAGTCGACTCAAAAGTCTTACTCACTGCTCTACAGAGTTGACTTTTGAGTCGACTCAAAAGTCTTACTCACTGCCCTACAGCGTTGAATTTTGAGTCGACTCAAAAGTCTTACTCACTGCCCTACAGCGTTGACTTTTGAGCCCTCATGGCCACATCGACACAGACAGTAGTTCGTGCTTACATCGAGTGTGATAGCAGCAGAAGCGCTCTTAAACCACGACACCCCCTCCCTCCTCTTCTCCAGAAAGTGCAGCACCTCCCGCCCATGCCGGTCCCACAGGCCCCTTGCTGTTCCCACGAAGACACGGCTGCTCAACACTGCGTCAGCCTGGTGGGACGGGAAAAAGGGAGTGGGGGAAGGGAGAATGGAGAGGGTTGGGAACTTCAACACCTCCCTCCCATGCCGGTCCCACAGGCCCCTTGCTGTTCTCACAAACACACGGCTGCTCAGCACTGCATCAGCCTGATGGGAAGGTGGGGAAAGGGGCAGAAAGGCAAGGGGGGAAGTATCGTGAGGAAGCTCACTTGACGGTCCCTCAGGCAAGGAAAGGGTTGGGCGAGGGTGGGGATAGAGTGAAGAAATGGGAGTGAAGGCGGATGGGGGAGGGGATAAACGGAACTGGGAAGCAAGGCAAGAGGAGGGGGTGGTGGCGGTTCAGGGACAGAGAGTGGTAGCCGGAACGTAGTTATCTTACCAGAGAGTGGGTGCCAGGTAAGATAACCAGAGAGTGGGTGCCAGGTAAGATAACCAGAGAGTGGGTGCCAGGTAAGATAACCAGAGAGTGGGTGCCAGGTAAGATAACCAGAGAGTGGGTGCCAGGTAAGATAACCAGAGAGTGGGTGCCAGGTAAGATAACCAGAGAGTGGGTGCCAGGTAAGATAACCAGCAGCGATCCAATCAGGGCAGAGCGCGGTAGCAGCTTGGAGGTCATGTGGTCGCCTGCCTGTGCTGGGCTGCGAGTGGACATGCAGGGCATCTCACCTGGGCTATGAGCGCGGACAGTGGCTGCAGCTTGGAGATCATGTCGTCACCTGCCTAAGTGCAATCACAGGGGAAGTGCGTGCGAACAAGAGAGGAGCAGTCAAGAAGTCCTACCTGCGCTAGCAGCGACCCTATGAGCGCGGACAGTGGCTGCAGCTTGGAGATCATGTCGTCACCTGCCTAAGTGCAATCACAGGGGAAGTGCGTGCGAACAAGAGAGGAGCAGTCAAGAAGTCCTACCTGCGCTAGCAGCGACCCTATGAGCGCGGACAGTGGCTGCAGCTTGGAGGTCATGTCGTCGCCTGCCTGTGGGCGCACCTCCTTGAGCACTCGCTTCAACGACGTGGTTCGACCCAGCTGGGTCTGCAGGGGAGAGGTGGAGGAGGGAAAGGGAGGAAGGGGAGGGAAAGAGAGGGCGCATTTCAAAGGAATGCACCTCCTTGAGCACTCGCGTCAGCGATGTGGTTCGACCCAGCTGGGTCTGGAGGGGAGAAGGGAAGGAGGGACAGGGAGGAAGGGAGCGGAGGGCACGGAAGGGAGGGGGGGGGGGGGGAGCGGAACGAAAGGCACGTTGTGAGGTTCCATAAGGAATGGGCCTTCTTGAGCACTCGCTTCAGCGATGTGGTGAGGCACTCGCTTCTGCGATGTGGTGAGGCCTAGCTGGGTCTGAGGGAAGGAGGAGGGAATGGAAGGAATACAATGAATGCAGGAATAGAAAAGCTTGCCATGTTAATCACCTCACTCCCCTTCTCCCCAACTAGCACCCTTCCAGATACAACTCCTTTTCTCCCCCTCTACACTCACATTCTCGTATAGTTTCTCCACCACGTCTTGCAGCGTCGCCCTGTACGTTGTCCTTAGCTCCACCGTCACCTCACTCAGCATCTCCCCGAATAGCACCTCCCCAAATAACACCTCCCTCCCCCCCCCTCCATACTCACATTCTCGTATAGTTTCTCCACCACGCCTTGCAGTGTTGCCCTGTACGTTGTCCTCAGCTCCACCGTCACCTCACTCAGCATCTCCCCGAATAGCACCTCCCTTCCCCCCGCTACTCCCCCTCCCCCCGTCCCCCCTGCTCCCCCTGCTTCCCCCATCCCCCCTGCATCCGCCACTCCGCCTCCCTGCCCCCTCCCCCTCCCTGCCCCAGCCTCCCCCCATCCACTCCCCCCACCAGCGCCTCCCCCCATCCCAATTCCGCCCATCCCCCCTTGTCCCCTGACACCACCTCCGCCTCCCCCGCCCCCTCCCCCTCCGCCTCCCCCTCCCCCTCCCCCACCGCCAGCAGCAGCAGCCACTCTTTTCGCAGCAGCTCCCAGCATGGAAGCAGCGGCAGCAGCAGCACCAGCAGCACTGCCTCCCCCCGAGGGCCGCTTGGGTGGGGGGAGGTTGCGCTGGGGAGGGCGGATGAGGGAGGCTGGAGGGGTGTTGGCGACCCATTTTCGCATCCGGAGTTCTATTGTTGGGCGCAGGGTTTCGAGCATTCGCTTTATTGTGTTGAGATACACGCCCAGCTGCAGTGAGGGGGGGAAAGGGGAAATGAGAGGAGGGGGGGGGGGGGAGGGGAGGGAGCATGAGCGGGGTGAAGACAGGGAGGAAAATGAGTATTGGGAAGCTTTCATTCACATTCTGAGCTCCACTGTTGGGCGGAGGGTCTCGAGCATTTGCTTGATGGTGCTGAGATACAGAGTATTTTTGAGAATTCTAAAAAATATTTTTGAGAATTCTAAAAAATACTCTGCAACATCATGTTGAGATACACGCCCAGCTGAAAGGGGGAGAGGGGTGGGGGGGGAGAGGCACGCAGGAAGGGAGGGAGGGAGACGCAGGGCGGGGAAGGCAGGGCGGGGAAGGCAGGGCGGGGCAGGCAGGGAGACTTTTGAGTCGACTCAAAAGGGAGGGAGGGAGACGCAGGGAGGGGAAGGGAGGGAGGACGATGGGTGTTGGAAACCCATTTGCCTGTCCTCAGCTCCCTCCACTATTGGGCGGAGGGTCTCGAGCATGCGCTTGATGGTGTTGAGATACACGCCCAGCTGAAAGGGGAGGGAGGGAAGAGTGATGGAAGGTAAGGCGAGCTCAAAAGTCAAGCAAGTGACGGGCTCACCTCAATGGGAACTTGGTACGCGAGTGTGGGGCGACGGCGGGACAGCATTCCAAGAAGCTTCTTTTTTGTGGAAGAGGGGGCGGAGGAGGAGGAGGGGGTGTTGAGGAGGAGGAGGAAGTTCTGAAAGTGAGAGGCGAGGGATGAAATGGCTGCTCGCTCCACATCGCACACCGCCTGCAATGGGGAAGCATGGAGCACAGGGATCGCACACAGACACACATGTCAACTATGTGAGGAGGAGAAAATTGTGAAAGTGAGAGGCGAGGGATGAAATGGCTGTTCGCTCCACATCGCACACCGTTTGTAATGGTGCACATGGGTGGGTAGACAGATACACATGGGAATCATGTGACTGTCAAATGGCCACTCAATGGGCACACTCTACATCGTGCACTGCCTGCACGGATTGCAACAGATGGCCAGACGAACCATGGGATACGACGGACCCACCATACTTAACCATTGCATTAGCAGCCAGGTACAGAGGCCCCTTCTTTGTTAACCCACCCCTGTGCCCTGTGAACGCACCCATTCCCCTGACCCCCCCCCCCCCCTCCTCAACACACTCTCACCTCTTCCACCAGCAGAGTGTACTGCAGCCATCGCCCCAGCACAGAGTCGAGCTCGTCCAGCAGGCTGTTGATCACACCGTACACCCCCCACTCCCTCCCTGTGCCATGCCATGCATTCCCCATCGCTTTACCTAGTTCTTTTGTTCTCTCTTTCTTTCAAGACACTCTCACCTCCTCCACCAGAAGCGTGTACTGCGGCCATCGCCCCAGCACCGAATCCAGTTCGTCCAGCAGGCTGTTGATCACACCGTACACCTCCTCCATAAAAGGCGACGTGGCATTGCGGTCTGACATTGGCGCCAGGACTGCCCACTGTAGGGGGAGGGAGAAGGAGCGGGAGACAGGGGAGTAGAAGTTGCAGCAGAAGAGAGAGATATCACACGTGGACTAGCACGCTGTTGATCACACCGTACACCTCCTCCATGAATGGTGGCGTGGCGTTGCGGTCCGACATGGGTGCTAGCACCGCCCACTGTTGGGGGGGAGAGACGTCCAGTTGTGAAACAGGCAGGGAGTGCTATCTCTTCCATGCCAGGCTGGTGGTCGGTGATGGCACTGGCAGGCTGGCAGGCTGGCAGGCTGTTGATGAACTCCATGAATGGGAGTTCATCACCGACCACCTGCCGACCACCTGTTGTTGAATGGTGAGGTAGCGTTGCGGTCTGACATGGGAGCTAGCACCGCCCACTGGGTAAGAGGAGGGAGAAGGAGAGACGGAGGGAGGGAAGAAGTGGGTGAGAGAGCGTGTGAGGCATCACACGCACTACCTCCTGTTGATCAACCCGTACACCTCCTCCATGAAATGCGACGTGGCGTTGCGGTCCGACATTGGGGTCCGACATTGGGCCTAGCACCGCCCGCTGAGGGGAGGCAGATGGAAGGGGGGAAGGGACCAAGAGAAGTCTCAGCGGTAGAGAGACGACTTTTGAGGCGCCTCAAAAGTAGAGAGACTTCATGGGATGGGCTCATTGCACACACGCCTGCTGCTGATGAATCCATGCCGTACCCCTCCTTCATGACGGGCGGCGTGGCAGTCCAGTCTGACATGGGTGCAAGCACCGCCCACTGTAAGGGGAGGGAGGAGAAGGGGAGACGGGAAAGAGTAGGACGCGCATGGAGGTTGAACATGTTGAGAGACCGAGGATGGAAGAGCAGGAGGAGGAAGAGAAGGCAGAGGAAGAGGAGGAAAATGGGTGATGAGGAAGAAAATGGGTGAAGAGGAGGTAAACGAGGAGCACAATAAAGAGGAAACAAACGAAGGAGAAAGAGGAGAGTAGGAGGGAGCACGTGGAGAGTAGAAAAGGGGCAGCACACACCTTGGGAGCTCGACAGACGTCCATGAGGGTGTGGGTGCGCTCTCTGATCCATGCCTCCACGTACACTCCAAACAGCTCCCTGGCGTCTAGCCCCCCAGGCACCTTGCTGGTCTCGGTAATCAGGGGGTGAGGCAGGGAGAGGGAGAGGGGGAATGAGGGTCGGACAGAGGGGGGCGAGAGAGGGTAGGTGACGATCTAGTAGGTAGGAAACTGGCTTTGCTTGTCTTGCATGCGTTTGCACCTACCTTGGAACACCCTATAATGAATACAAGGTCCGTTTGAGAATGAGATAATGAGAGAATGATAGAGGGCTGATGCGCTCTCTCATCGATGCCTCCACGTACACTCCGATCTGAATATCTCCCTTGGGTCTAGCCCCCCAGGCAACTTTCGGATTGAGATTGATGCACGAGACGAGGAGATGCAAGGGAAGCTGCAATAATGCAGGGGAGAAAAAATAGACAAACCCAACCCATAACTAATGCAACCACAATGCTTCACTCACCCCACGCCCCACAGCATGAGCCTGTCCTCCACGTCAGCAGTGGCGTGCAGCAGGTTCTTGACATGTGGCAGCGGGTGCTGAGGTGGCACTGCCAGCAGGAACTGGTTGACTCGCCGCTGCAGCTCCACCATGTACACGCCAGCTGTCAACTCGGGTAAGTCCACGAAGCTGACGTGGCGTGGGGATGAGATGGGACGAGGAGGGAATGAAGGGATTGAGAGAAAGGAGGCATCCTTTCTGCAGGGATTGAATGGCGTGCTCACGGTGGGGGGCTTCTGCAGGTATATGGGAGTGACTTTTGAGAATTCTCAAAAGTCACTCCCATATAGCTCACAGTGGGGGGCTTCTGCAGGTCCACCATGAGCACGCCAGCTGTCAGCATGGGTAAGTCCAAAAAGCTGAAAAGGAAGGAGGGGAAGGAAGGCGCTCATTGCCTCCCCTTCTGCAGCGCCACCATGAACACGCCAGCTGTCGGCTTAGGTAAGTACACAAAGCAGGAAGGGGGTTCAAAGGGCGACGAGGTTGGACGGGCAAATCGAACCGGCAAATTCAAGTAAAATTCCGTCTGGCGACGCCTATGCAGCGCACCATGCACATGCCAGCTGTCAGCTCAGGCCAGTCGAGAAAACTGGGAGGGGGATCAAAGGACGCTGCAACAGAAACACCCCCTTTCTCCCTCACCCCCACTCCTTCCCTTGTGGCCACAAACGAAGTCCCACCAGGGCAGGATACGTTGGTTGTGAACCTGCACCTCTCTCCACATGGCCACACACGCACTTCCACCCCCATCCCACACCAGGGCAACGCGCACACACTAATTCACAAACAAGCACATACATCACCCCACCTGGGCAGGATGTGTTGGTTGTGAATGCATATGTCCGCTTGCACCTTCCTCCACATGGCCACACACACGCACCACCCCCACACACGCACCACCCCCACACAAGCCCACATTGTAGCACGGACAGCGTCCCACCTGGGCAGGATGTGTTGGTTGTGAATGCCAATATCCGCCTGCACCTCCCGCCACATGGCCACACATGCCAGTCGCATGCTCCCATACGCCTCCCTCTGCTCCTCCATATCCCCCCCTTCCCCTCCCCGCATTGCCCCCCTCCCCATTCCCCCTGCCCCCATTCCCCCCGGGCCCCCTCCCCCTCTCCCCCTGCCTCCCCCCGGACTGCACCCCATGCCCGCCTGCCCCTGCGCCTGTGCCTGCATGGTGCTGCCCCCAGTGCCAAGGCAGAACGTGCCGTTGACGTATTCGTCGGTCTCTGACAGGTGCTGCCTGCACCGCCGCCGCGCTGCTGTCTGGAAACAGGGAGGGACGGGAGGCAGAGAGGCAAGCAGGGTTTAGGGCCAGAATGTGCCGTTGACATACTCGTCCGTCTCTGACGAGTGTTGCCGGCACCGCCGCCTCGCTGCTGTCTGTGTGGGAAGGGAGTGGAGAATGGGGAAGGTGAGAACGCAAGACAAGCACGCAGAACGTGCCGTTGACATACTCGTCGGTTTCTGACAGGTGCTGCCGGCACCGCCGCCTCGCTGCTGTCTGGAATGGGAAGAGGAGAGGGGTAAAGGGTAGAGAGAGGAGAAAAGAAGAGGTAGGAAAGTCAGGCAAGCAGCAGGTCATTGCGCAGCCGAAACAGGTGCACCATTTGCCAATAACACCCCACAGGTGCACCATTTGCCAATAACACCCCACAGGTGCACCCCGCAGAACCGCTGTTGTACCTCGGGCAAGCAGCAGGTCATTCCGCAGCCGAAACAGGTGCGCAGCAGGGGGAATAGCCGGCGCCATTAGTGACCTTTCCCACATGATCTGCCAATACCCCCCCCTCCCCCCTCTCACCTGCAGGTAACCGCAGCACTGCTGCTGCACTTCTGGCAGCACTGCTGCTGCACTTCTGGCAGCACTGCTGCTGCACTTCTGGCAGCACTGCTGCTGCACTTCTGGCAGCACTGCTGCTGCACTTCTGGCAGCACTGCTGCTGCACTTCTGGCAGCACTGCTGCTGCACTTCTGGCAGCACTGCTGCTGCACTTCTGGCAGCACTGCTGCTGCACTTCTGGCAGCACTGCTGCTGCACTTCTGGCAGCACTGCTGCTGCACTTCTGGCAGCACTGCTGCTGCACTTATGGCAGCACTGCTGCTGCACTTCTGGCAGCACTGCTGCTGCACTTCTGGCAGCACTGCTGCTGCACTTCTGGCAGCACTGCTGCTGCACTTCTGGCAGCACTGCTGCTGCACTTCTGGCAGCACTGCTGCTGCACTTCTGGCAGCACTGCTGCTGCACTTCTGGCAGCACTGCTGCTGCACTTCTGGCAGCACTGCTGCTGCACTTCTGGCAGCACTGCTGCTGCCACTGCGCCTCTCAAGTGTCCTCCCCTTATCTGCCAACACCCCCACCCCAGTCTCACCCGCAGGTAACCGCAGAACTGCTGCTGCACCTCTGGCAGCAGCAAGTCGTTCAGCAGCCCAAACAGGTACACCGCGGGGGGAATCGCCGGCGTCACCAGTGCGGCCGCCTCTGCCCCCACCAGCGATCTCCCCAGTGCCCTTCCCTTCCCCAGCCCTTACACCCCTGCTCCCAGTAATACCACGTGAAAGAATGAGTGTTTTGAGACGTCTCAAAACACTCCTTCTTTCATGCGGCCGCCTCTGCCCCCACCAGCGATCTCCCCAGTGCCCTTCCCTTCCCCAGCCCTTACACCCCTGCTCCCAGTAATACCCCAGGCTCACCTGCAGGTAACCGCAGAACTGCTGCTGCACCTCTGGCAGCAACAGGTCGTTCAGCAGCCCAAACAGGTGCACTGCAGGGGGGATCGCCGGCGCCACCAGCGCTGCCGCCTCTGCCCCCACCAGCGATCGCCCCAGGGAGGCACACAGGTGGGTGGCGGAACGGGAAGAGTCGGCGATGCCTGAAGGGGAAGCCTCGCTGAGCGACTTGTAGCTCTCGAAGGTGAGTTGCAGGAGGTCTCCTACTCTCTCCTCCATGTCTGCTAGCATGCGCGCCTGGGGTGGGGGAGAACAGAGGGGTGCAGAGATGTGGGTAGCGGTGCAGAGGAGTTGGCGATGCCTGAAGGGGAAGCCTCGCTGAGCGACTTGTAGCTCTCGAAGGTGCGTTGGAGGAGGCCTCCCACTCTCTCTTCCATATCTGCTAGCATGCGTGCCTGGGGTGGGATGAGAACAGAGGGCTGCAGAGAGGTGGGGGGTGGTGGGGGGAAGTGGGCAATGGGTGAAGCGGAGGGGGAAGCCTCGCTGAGCGATTTGTAGCTCTCGAAGGTGAGTTGGAGGAGGCCTCCCACCCGCTCTTCCATATCTGCTAGCATGCGCGCCTGCGAAGGGGGGAGGAGAGTGCGGTTGCGGGGAGAACAGAGGGGTGCAGAGCGGTGGGTAATGGTGCTGAAGCAGATCGCCCACTCTCTCCTCCATGTCTGCTAGCATGCGCGCCTGTGAGTGGAAGGGAAGGAGGGCGAGGAGGAATTTTGAAGGAAACACACAATGGCACGGAGAGGAGGGGGAAGTGGGCAGGAAGAGAGGCGAGAGGAGAGATGGGAAGTGGGGTGTGGAGGAGAGGAGGGAAGTGGGATGAGGAGGAGAGGAGGAAAGGGGAAGGTGAGAAATGTTAAAGAAGCACTGTGGATGATACACCGGTTGTGTACGCTTCTCAACCGTGTTGCTGTCTCTCCTATTCAGTCACTCTCAAATACGAGTCACTCACCTCCTGTTTAGTCACACTGCTGCCGTCTTTTGAGGCGCCTCAAAAATCTTCTCAACCGTGTTGCTGTCTCTCCTGTTCAGTCACTCTCAAATACGAGTTACTCACCTCCTGTTTAGTTTACTTTTGAGGCGCCTCAAAAGCAGTCACTCTCAAATAAGAGTTACTCACCTCCTGTTTAGTCACACTGCTGCCGTCACTGTCGTGTGCATGCAGCACCGGTGCCAGCAGCTGGTGAATCAGAGTCAGGCAGTCGGCTGTTGGTGTTGCCACGTCCATCACTCGCGTGAGGTACCTGCGCAATGGGGCAGGGACGTACAGAGGAGAATAGGAAAAAGGGAGAGATGGGACAGGAATGAGGTAGTGACTTGTGCAAGTTGCACGGGCGCCAACAACTGGTGAATCAGAGTCAGGCAGTCGGCTATGGGTGTTGCCACGTCCATCACTCGCGTGAGATACCTGTACAACGGAGCAGAGCCGGACATAGGTGAATAGGGATGGATGGGGAAATGGCACCACACGTGCATGTAGCACTGTCAGAGCAGACATGTGAATGCAGCACTCAAGCCAGAGCAGATGCGGACAGAGGTTAGCGTAGTGTTGCGAGCCGCTATAGCAGGTGGCGACCTGACCTGATCGCACAACCACTCCCAGGGGCGGAAGTTGCATATGGGGGTGGGGTGTTGGGCTAAGAGGCAGGGCTCGAGAGCTAAGCGCACCTGAGCTTGGTGTAATGAGGAGAGACGCCATAGCAGGTAGCGAACTGGTCGCAGAGCCACTCCCAGGGGCCGGAGAGGCGGAGGTTGCGCGCGTGGAAGCCCTGAGCTGCCATGGCTGCTGCGAGCACCCAGTCGTATGCTGCTGACTCCGTGATTGGCTGACACTGGTGGGGGGGTGAGACAGAAGAGGGGAGAGAAACGGGCAGGAGCATGCATGAAGATTAAGGTAGTGAGCATGGAAGCCCTGAGCTGCCATGGCCGCCGCGAGAACCGAATTGTATGCTGCTGACTCCGTGATGGGCTGGCACTGGTGGGGGTGTGAATGAGGGTAACAGTGAGGTATAAACACCAAAAAGGAGGGGGAGAAGGTGAGTTCACTGGACTGAGAGGTGCGAGCGTGGAATCCCTGAGCTGCCATGGCTGCTGGCAACCAGCACCCAGTGGTACGCGGATGACTCTGAAAAGGGCTGACACTGGCGGTGGGGGGACAGAAAAGAGGAGAGAAAGGAGCAGCAGTTGTCATCATGGCAGCATCCATGAAGGCTGAGGTTGGGAGAGATGATAACTAAGCTGCCATGGCTGGGGTTGGGAGAGATGATAATTAAGCTGCCATGGCTGCTCCCAACACCCAGTTGTACGCTGCTGTCTCTGAGATGGGCTGGCACTGGGCGTGGAGAGGGGGGGGGGGGAAGAAACGATTTTAGGGTGAATAACACTGAATGGTTTTGAGACGTCTCAAAACCCTTCGTCATACACGTGAGTAACACTGAACGGTGAGTCCTGAGTACAGCATGGTTCAGGTGTATCCCTGTGACCACCCCCTGACCACTGAACGGTGTGTTCTGAGTACAGCAGCAAGCAGCGACTCGAAACGTACTGGGCTTGCACCGATCCGCCCCTGCTTTCGATCTACGACTGCATGGAGAAACACACCCTGACAGACACAGCTGCACTCGATCGCACATGATCGCACATGATCGCACATGACCGCACATGACCGCACACGTCCGCACATTGCCTCACACTCTCACACACCCTCGCGTTCAAGTCGACTCAGCAACAACAAAAATTTCCACACACCTGCGTGCCATAGTCCCTGGCACAGGGCACGAGAGACACGGCGAGCTGCACGCGAGCCACCTCCTGCTGACACGTGTCCCTCACTGCCAGCCAATGGCAGCGCTGCGACAGTGACACGTGGGCACCCGGGTGCTGAGATGGTCGAGTGCGACAGCGGAGGGAGAGGGACAAAGAAGAGGGGAAGAAGGATTGAGGGGTGGGAGGGGCGGGGGTAGAGAAGCGGCAGGCAAGAGCAGCGGTGAGACAGCCACACTTTCGATTATGGCTTGCTTATTTGCTACTTGCCACCCACCCGTTCCCCCCTGATGATACACCCACCAACCCCGTATCACTCTCCTGGTCACCCCTTATCACTCCCCTTTCGTCCATGAGAACAGTTGCTGCCACCGCTGCGTTCCCCCAGAACCAGCTGCTATGATCACTCCCGCTCACCACTTGTCACTCCCCTTCACCCATTGTCACCCCCCTTCATCCCGTTTCACCCCCCTTCACCCCTCATCACTCACCCCTTCGTCCATGAGCGTAGAAGCAGCCACTGACGCCTGTCCTCTCGACCCGCTGCGATCATGCACCTCCACCACCACCTCTTGTCTCTCGCTCTCCACAGGTCTGATTGGAAGTGGGGCGAGAGAAGGCAGAGAGGGAAGCGAGGGATGAGATGGAAGCAATGGCACAGCGGCAGCCACTGTTGCCTGTCCCCTTAACCCACTCCGATCATGCACCTCCACCACCACCTCCTGTCTATCGCTCTCCACAGGTCTGATTGTGAGTGAAAATGGTGGGAAAACGGGGGTGGGAAGATAACAGAGCACTGGTATGATTTGAGGACTGGGGAGGGTTGATCGCAATCTCCTCCTGTCGATCGCTCTCCACTGGTCTGAATGGAAGAGAGGGCAGAGAGGGGAGAGTGGGGAGAGAGGAAAGAGAGGGCAGGGATGGAGTGAGGTAAAGGTGGGGCAAATGCACCTCCACTCCACTGTTGGCTGCCCACTTAACCCACTGCGGCCATGCACCTCCACCGCCACTTGTTGTCGATTGCTCTCCATGGGTCTGCAGGTGAGAGAGGAATAGGGGCGAGAGAAAGAAGAAGGGTGGGGAGAATAAGGGTGGGGAGAAGAAGGGTGGAGAGAAGAAGGGTGGGGAGAAGAAGGGTGGGGAGAAGAAGGGTGGGGAGAAGAAGGGTGGGGAGAAGGCGCAAGTGGCCTGCCCCCCTGCAGCACCCATTGCAGTCATCCTCCACCACCACTTCTTGTCGATTGCTCTCCACTGCACGGGTCTGAATGGAAGAGAGGTTGAGAACGGTGGAGTGGGGCAAAGGGGCACAAGTGTGGGCACAGGTGTAAGGTATGTTAACTGCCTCCCTGCACCCACTGCTGTCATGCACCCACTGCTGTCATGCACCCACTGCTGTCATGCACCCACTGCTGTCATGCACCCACTGCTGTCATGCACCCACTGCTGTCATGCACCCACTGCTGTCATGCCCCTCCACCACCACCTCCTGTCGACTCAACAGTATGTGTTGGGTATGTGCTGTGTGCAGCATGGCTTACATTACAGGTAAGGTTAATCCAATGGTGGGTGGGTGTTTTGGGTTTGCGTGGTACGGAAAAATCTTGGGGGTGTCTGCAGAATGGCTTACAGGTTGATGCAGTGGTGGGTGTTGGGGTTGACCCTCCGTGCTTCACCCGCCTCCTCTGATGGGCATCGCACAGCCACCAACACTCCCTCTGGAAGCAGGAAGGGATTCAACAGAGAGAGGAACAGGCAGAGGAGAATGGAATGGGCAGAGGAGGGAGTGGAGCAGTAAAGTGGTGTGAGTTGCAGGAGGGTTGACCCTCCGTGCTTCACCCGCCTCCTCTGATGGGAATCGCACGCCACCAACACTCCCTCTGACAGCAGCAAGAGAACCAGCATCATCGTATAAAACTGCATATCTGTACCCTGCCTGAATTAATACAAAGGACCGGTTAGAGGAGTAGGCAGAGGAGAATGTGAGCAGAGGAGGGAGAGACGCAGTGGTGTGGTGCGGTGTGGTGTGGTGTGTCTTGCGAGAGGCTTGGCCAGTTGCGTTCTAACAATTCCTCCGATTGTAAATTGCACGGCCATGGCCATCAGAACCAGATCAAATCACCTGAAGCACCAGAAGGATCATGTGACGCTACAGGCAAGGGATACAGGGGAATCACCCGGGCCACATGACCACTCACCAGGAGCAGCAGTGGTACCTTCGGCGGCCAGCCCTCTCAGATTCGCCATGCCCCCCTTGATCTGTCTTATCGTGTTGCTTACCCGCCCCCTCCTCTTCCTGTCCCCTCTCTTCCCTCTTTCCCCCTTCACCTGGAGCAGCAGTGGTGGCTTCAGCAGCCAGCCCTCTCAGATTCGCCATACCCCCCTTGATCTGTCACCCCTGCCCCTGAGGGACAGGTCTGTCAACCTGATCTGCCTTATCGTGTTGCGCACTGCCCCCACTGTCCCCCCTGCCCTCCCTGTCACCCCTGCCCCTCCTGTCCCCCCTCACCTGGAGCAGCAGTGGTGGCTTCAGCAGCCAGCCCTCTCAGATTCGCCATGCCTCCTTTGATCTGCCGCATCATGCTGCTCACTGCTCCCCCTGCTCCCCCTGTTCCGCCTGTCCCCCCTGCTGCCCCCCCCGCGCTCCCCTGGTTCTCGCCTTCCCCCTGTCCCCCGTCCCCCCCTCTCCCCTCATCCCCCTTGCTTGTCATGCGCACCTTGCGCACTGGGGGATTGGTGGGGGATTTGGAGGAGATGGAGGGGAGATTGGGGGAAGATGTGATGAAAACGGCATGGGGGAGATTGAGGAGAAACGGAAGATTGAGGGTCAGCGAGAGTGAATGAAACACTTTCCTACCTACTACAAAAGGAGCACAGTGTGAGTGTGAGTGCAGCGCACCTTGCAGCTTGGAGAACCCACGCACAGGGAATGAAATGAGCTCTCATCCCTCCCATCCCCTCTCTCTCACATCACCCAGATTCGGAGCCGCACCTTGCAGCTTGAGCGTGCCAATGCTGCGGTTCTTCTTCCGAGCCGACGAGTGGCCGTACGGCGAGAGGGGAGAGCTGGAGAACCCATGCAGGGGGGACGAGCTCTCATCTCCGTTTCTCCCTCCTCCTGCTCCTGCTCCCCCTCCTGCCCCTCCTCCTCCCCCCTGCCTGTCACTGGCGTCTGCCACGTTTCGAGCACTCACAGGCACCAGCATGAGTGGCTGGAGACTGGGAGGGTGCGTGAATGGGAGGGGAGGGGGAAAAGAGGAGAGATCAGACCAGAGAGCCAAGACCAGAGAGCCAAGACCAGACCAGAGAGCCAAGACCAGAGAGCCAAGACCAGAGAGCCAAGACCAGAGAGCCAAGACCAGAGAGCCAAGACCAGAGAGCCAAGACCAGAGAGCCAAGACCAGAGAGCCAAGACCAGAGAGCCAAGACCAGAGAGCCAAGACCAGAGAGCCAAGACCAGAGAGCCAAGACCAGAGAGCCAAGACCAGAGAGCCAAGACCAGAGAGCCAAGACCAGAGAGCCAAGACCAGAGAGCCAAGACCAGAGAGCCAAGACCAGAGAGCCAAGACCAGAGAGCCAAGACCAGAGAGCCAAGACCAGAGAGCCAAGACCAGAGAGCCAAGACCAGAGAGCCAAGACCAGAGAGCCAAGACCAGAGAGCCAAGACCAGAGAGCCAAGACCAGAGAGCCAAGACCAGAGAGCCAAGACCAGAGAGCCAAGACCAGAGAGCCAAGACCAGAGAGCCAAGACCAGAGAGCCAAGACCAGAGAGCCAAGACCAGAGAGCCAAGACCAGAGAGCCAAGACCAGAGAGCCAAGACCAGAGAGCCAAGACCAGAGAGCCAAGACCAGAGAGCCAAGACCAGAGAGCCAAGACCAGAGAGCCAAGACCAGAGAGCCAAGACCAGAGAGCCAAGACCAGAGAGCCAAGACCAGAGAGCCAAGACCAGAGAGCCAAGACCAGAGAGCCAAGACCAGAGAGCCAAGACCAGAGAGCCAAGACCAGAGAGCCAAGACCAGAGAGCCAAGACCAGAGAGCCAAGACCAGAGAGCCAAGACCAGAGAGCCAAGACCAGAGAGCCAAGACCAGAGAGCCAAGACCAGAGAGCCAAGACCAGAGAGCCAAGACCAGAGAGCCAAGACCAGAGAGCCAAGACCAGAGAGCCAAGACCAGAGAGCCAAGACCAGAGAGCCAAGACCAGAGAGCCAAGACCAGAGAGCCAAGACCAGAGAGCCAAGACCAGAGAGCCAAGACCAGAGAGCCAAGACCAGAGAGCCAAGACCAGAGAGCTTCTGTCTGCTGCGTTTCAAGCACTCACAGGCACTAGCGGCTGGAGACTGGGGGGTGGAAGTGGGAGCAAGGTGAAGAAGGAAAAAAGGGGGAGGGAGATGGTGGGGAGAAGGGTTCGTTATTGCATGATACACTCTAAGTCAAGACTCACCTGAAGAATGTGCGCAAGGAGGCACAGCCGAACAGGCAGCGTGTTGCATCAAAGAAGTGGTCGTGGGGAGACCCCTTGGTTTCTCACTCATGGCACCGTTAGCACTCGCGGCACCACACTCGTCGCAGAGGCTCACCCGAAGAATGTGCGCAGAGAGGCGCAGGCAGCGTCTTGCAGGAAAAAGTGCGCGTGGGGTGACCCCTTGGATGCTTCGTCCATGCACATGCGCACACATGCATCGTATGCCACCGTCGCACTCCACCGCTCTTCAGCACTGCATATGGAGCATGGTGCATGGAGCATGGGCCATGGAGCATGGGGCATGAGGCATGGGGCATCAGGCATGGGGCATGGGGCATTGGGCATGAGGCATGGGGCATGAGGCATGGGGCATGGAGCATGGGGCATGGAGCATGGGGCATGAGGCATGGGGCATGGAGCATGGGGCATGGAGCATGGGGCATGGAGCATGGGGCATGGGGCATGAGGCATGGGGCATGGAGCATGGGGCATGGAGCATGGGGCATGGAGCATGGGGCATGGAGCATGGGGCATGGGGCATGGGGCATGAGGCATGGGGCATGGGGCATGGGGCATGGGGCATGGGGCATCGGGCATGGGGCATGGGGCATGGAGCATGGGGCATGGAGCATGGGGCATGGAGCATGGGGCATGAGGCATGGGGCATGGAGCATGGTGCATGGAGCATGGGGCAGGGAGCATGGGGCATGGAGCATGGGGCATGGAGCATGGGGCATGGGGCGTGAGGCATGGGGCATGGGGCATGGGGCATGAGGCATGGGGCATGGAGCATGGGGCATGGGGCATGGAGCATGGAGCATGGGGCATGAGGCATGGGGCATGGAGCATGGGGCATGAGGCATGGGGCATGGAGCATGGGGCATGGAGCATGGGGCATGGGGCATGGGGCATGAGGCATGGGGCATGGGGCATGGGGCATGGGGCATGGGGCATGGGGCATGGAGCAGCATGGAGATCACAGGTAACGCTCGCAAAGTGGGTTCCATGTAAGGCAAGCAGCACGGATACCAGTAACTCTACCTGGCGAGTTGAATGGGTTTGACAGCAGGCGGTTGAGCGTGCCCATGGTTAGTTGGCCTACTCTTGAGACGCCTCAAAAAGCAGTGTGGTTACCACAGCATAGGCGGTGTGGTAACCAGTAAACCTACCTGGCGAGTTGGATGGGTTCGATAGCAGGCGGTTGAGCGTGCCCCGTGGTGCGATGGGGCGCGGTGGGGGTGTGGGGAGACAGAGGCGCGTCTGCCCCCGCACTCTCCGCCCTGCTGGGAAGGGCAAAGAGAGGGGGGAAAAGGGAAAGGGGAAGAGGGGAGTGAATGCCCGGCGCGGCGATGGGGCGTTGGGAACTAAGAGGGAGGGGCGCACGAATGCTCCTGTGAGACGGGCGCGGCGCGGGACTGTCCTAAAAAAAGACACTTCAAAGTAGCCCGTGATACAGCCGCCCAAGTAATCACCGCGTTTCGAAGCTACACACTCGTTATGCCGCGCCCACATGCTTACCTGCAATAAAACTTTTTTTACCCCGTTCGTAATTCATTTATATCCCCGCTTTACCGCGTTCGCATGGCATGCACGCGTTATACCGCATGCCTCTGCTCCCCCCTTATCTGGTCATACCATCTCCCCACTCCTAAATTGATCATCGCGACAAACTCGCGAGCATGCGATCTGCGCGATTCACCTCTGCGACGCCTGCGACGGCGAGTCCGTCGTTGCGCCCGATTCCTCCCGCACGGTGCTCAACCGCAGCGCGCTTTCCCGCCCCAGCCCTATCGCGGACCTCCCCCCGCCGCTCCACCTTCCGCTGCTCATCCGTGGCGACTCCGCGCTCTCCCGCTCCCCGCTTCCGCCCGCCTCTGGCCGCTGCGGCTGCGGCGCCGCGCGGGTGGGCGCGCCGGGCGCGGCGCGCGCGGGCGGGCCGCCGCTCATGGCGGAAACGGGCGGCGCGCTGGGGGTCGTACTGCTGGCGTCGCCGCGACTCGCAAGACTGTCGCCGCCCTGACGCTGCTCCTGCCCGTGGCTGTAGCTCCGGCTGTAGCTGGGATCGTTGCTTCGATTGTAGCTGACACCGTTGCTTCGGCTGTAGCTCTGGCTGTCTCGTCCACTATCCCGTTGACTGCCGCGTTGACTGTAGCGTTGACTGTCTTTCGGGCTGTAGCTGTCGCGATGTGGTGCAGGCCCCCCCACCGCTCTCAACACCGCCTCATCCGCCTCCTCCTCTTCCTCCTCGTCCCGCTCCCGCTCTCGCGCACGTTCCCGCTCCTCCTGCTCCCAGTCGTCGATTCCGCCAAGATTCGCGCGATCGTCGTCAGCGTCTCTCGCGTCGCCTTTGACCATAGACGACAGGACGTTAGGTGCGAATTCTAAGGAATGATCTAAGAACGGCTCGGCTGCAAGATCGTCGTCTTCTTCCGCCTCCTCGTCTTCCTCCTCTTCCACGTCGTTAACCTCCACTTGGCGACTGTTACCGACGCTCGCGGCGTTCGCGACGTTCGCGAAGTTAGGGTTCCTGTCGCCCAGCACGCCGTTGCTCCACGCGCCGCTTTCGTAAAAGCCGCTCTCCCGCTTCGCCCCCGCCACCGGCTTCGATCGGCTCTGCAAATCCGGAATCGCGGAGCGGCCTTGCGCGTCGTACGGCGTTTCCTCGCCCGTACGACTACGTTTCATCTCCTGCCGGCTCATCTCCCACGTGGAGCTCCCCATGTTGGATGACACTCGGCTCTTTTTCACTCCAACCGGTCCGAAATCCTCGTTACCGTTCTCGTCCGCCCACGCTGCTGCCTCCTGCCCGTAATCGCGACTCTCCATTCCCATATTGGGCATATCCATTGATTCGTACGCCGCGCGTCCTGCCGCCACGGGTTGCTGATACTGGTGCTGCTGATCCATCCCTCGCACTCCGCGCGTGCCTTTGCTCCAGCCGCCTCCTTTCATGGCGTCCCGGCGAAAAACACACGTGGCCTAACTTGGATTTCCCTGATTGCCTATCAAGCTAAGCTAGTAGTCAGAACAGCTGGAGGAAACGCATTTCGGTAACTACAAGCCGACACAGAGGGTCCAATGCCATGCAGAGCGCGGCGTGCTTTGGCGGGAAAACCATTTTTGAATCTGTTGATTTTGGTTGCTGTCAGTAAGGGCGTGTCCCACTTCGTTTTGGAAGAAACACAAGTTTTTTACGTAATCTAGAGTCAGCAAAAGAGTGTACACTCTGACGAAAACAACACGCAGTACGTCAGCTCTAGTGCAAAATGAACTTTCCCACGCGGACTCACAACCCCAACCACACAAGCCCACCTTCCGAACCAGAATTCACCTGGGCCGCGAGCGGTAACCCGCCCGGTGGGCGAATTGTCCGAGCAGAATCTGACGGAGCTCACGGGATCCCTTTGCGATTGTCGTTTTTATCGCTAAACTGTGGGTTGGGCAATTTTCAGCATGGGGTAACGGACTGCAGAACGCATTACGCTATTGTCGCACGTACCAGGGCTGCGGTTTTTGCACGTGGGAAAAACGCATCTTTTGACGTCTACACTTCACCACAGTGGCGCGTCATCGTGGAGTTGCATCTACAGTATCACTGTAAGGAATTTAGCTAATTCCTTACTGAGGCACCGCTTACGCATACATTTCCAACTTTTCGTAGATCAGGCTCGGTCCGACGACCTCGCCTCCCGAACATCCTCCGCGTCGCCTTCGGGTTTTCCAAACCCAAACCTACACCCAACCCTCGCACGCCTTCGCGACCTCGGGCTTAGCTAGCCTTGCTATATTATGCCTAGGCCCCGATGTTTGCTCAGTAGTTGTAATCACTTCCGCGATATTGTATTCTGCGCACTCTTCTTTCATACAACTCATAACACCTGGTATCAGAGCTACTTTCCTAGGTTACCCTCCACTTTCCGGGGTAGTTTAGTACGGGGGTGCGATAGGTTTGGTGGGCTGCAAAGCGGTCGGCTGAGAGATAGATACGATTATCTCGCTCCGACTAATAGCGTTTGCGCCTTCATCAAAACCAGAAAAATCGCTGTTAACCCCCTGCCCGTTAGACGAAGCCTGCGACACATGGTCCAGGCGGAGTTAAACGAGCTTATGCAACAGTTTCGGGCGTTGCAGGCCAACATGCAGACTATGTCTGGCGAGTTGAGCGCCTGAGGGAGGAAAACGCCGAGCTAAGCCAGACGCGAGGTGAAGCGCGTCAGGAGTCGCCCGCCGTGGATGAAGCAGGAAGCAGTTTCGTACCTAACGACGAGGTCCTCAGCGAGCTACAGAACTCGCTGGACGCTGAAAACGAGCGGACAGCACGAACGCAACGAGCACAAGGGACGCAGGAGCAACAGCCACAGCCGAGGCAACAGTCGCAGACGACGCCACGACAGGCACCAGCGACAACCCCGGTGATGGCTTCAATGGCGCCCCCGTGAGAAGAAGTGAACGAGAATGAATAAACTATAAATGAAGTGAGTACAAATATGAAACCCTAATTGGGTTGTACCCCCTATGGGATACCCCACTATAGCCTACACAACAGCATAAGCTATAATGTTCTGACACACCCCCATAGCCAAAGTGGGGGAGAACAAGGGGTCACAAGACCAGTCAAGCAAAGCAAAGCAAAGCTCAGGGTGGATCACAAAGTCACCACACATTCCGAGCACAAGTTCAAAGGCCAAAAGGCCAGTTCACATGCAAGATCACATATAGAGATATACAAGAGTCAAGCAAGCAAGAGCAAGAGTATATATAGGTGAAGGTACAAGCAAGGTCAAGAAGTGAGCAAGTGAGACAAGACAGGTACAAGACCCAGCTGCGTGCAGCAACGCTGATGATCACAGGGCGCAAGTGCCTTGGTGAAGACATCAGCAGTGTTGGCCTCAGAGGCCACGTACGCAAGTCGCAACTGTCCACGCTGCTGCAGCTCACGAGCAAGAAAGTAGCGGAGAGCAATGTGCTTTGTCCTGTGCTCCAGTCGCTGCTCTCGACACAAGGCCAGCATGGCCTTGTTGTCTACGTACAGGACTGGAGGAGAACGCGGCGGCTCTCCAAGGTCGGTCAGCAGGTAGGTGAGCCAGCGAAGCTCCTGGGCAGCCATAGCCCCCGCGTAGATCTCAGCCTCACAACTGGAGCCGAGAACAGAAGACGAGCGGGTAGCCCGCCACGAAACAGAGCCGGAACCAAGGCTGAAGGTGTAACCCTGTGACGACCGCTGCGTAGCCTGGTCGTCAGCCCAAGAAGCGTCCGCATGCCCAGTGAGGACCACTGGACTGCGCCCTCCAAGCACTAGCCCCATGCCCGACGTACTGCACAAGTAGCGCAACACCCTCTTCGCTGCAGCCATGTGCTCTGGTCGGTGTCTCCCAGGAGCAACATAGCGTGCAAGAATGCTAAGAGGGTATGCAAGGTCAGGTCGTGTGCAGGTCATCAGGTACATGAGGCAGCCAACAAGCTCTGCATACGGGCCACTCGACTCTACGGACTCATCCGAAGGCAGAGCTAAGAGCGAGTGGCGAGTAGGCAGAGGAGTGGCCTGAGGCGAGGAGTACGTGAAGCCGAAGCGCTGAAGGACCTGCTGCACCATGTGTGACTGAGTCAGGGTAATGGTGCGGCGTGCTCTGTCCCGGGTGATCTGCAAGCCAAGGTAGCTGCGCAGTTCACCCAGGTCAGTGCACGTGTGTCTCTTCTGCAGCTCGGACTTCACGTAGGCGAGTCCAGCAGTGTTAGCTGTGGCAAAGACCAAGTCGTCGACGTACACGAGGATGTAGAACGGCGGCAGAGAGGTGTCAGTGCGCAGAAACAGCGACGGGTCGGCAGTAGAAGGAGCAAACCCAAGTGCCGCCAGCGTAGTCCTCAGTGTGTCGTGCCACTCACGTGGCGCCTGGCGGAGACCATAGACTGGACGCCGGAGACTCCACTGGGTACTAGGAGGGAAAGACCCAGTGAAGCCAGGTGGGCGACGCAGCCAGATCTCCTCGTGCAGGCTGCCCTGCAAGAAAGCAGTGCTAAAGTCGAGAGAGTGCAGCTCGTAGTCACGGTGAGCAGCAACGTGCAGCAGTACCCGAAGAGTGGTCATCTTCGGGGTGGGGGAGAAGGTCTGAAAGTAGTCAACTCCCTGCCGCTGACTGAAGCCACGAGCCACGTAACGTGCCTTGAAGACAGGCGGAGAACCCGGCGGCCGCTTCACCCTGAAGATCCACATGCCACTGACTATGTTCGCCCCAGGAGGGGGAACAGCGTCAACGTAGGTGCCTGTGGACTTCCAGGAAGCCATCTCTGCATCCATAGCTGCCTGCCACTGAGAGGATTAGGGACCCTCTATCGCCTCCGCGTAAGAGCGCGGAGTCGGGATGTCTAGTGCATCCGGGTCTCCCTCAGGGGCTAGCAGTACAGACGCGAGATGAGGTGAAGCGGCGACCAGACACTGGAACTCCTCCTGCCTGTCCTCAAGTACGTCCGTGCGAAGGGCACACTCACCCCCGACGGACGGAGGACAGACAGACTCAGACTCAGCGACAAGACTAGCAGCGTAGTCTAGATGACAGCGCGCAGCAAAGTCGACGAGCTCAGTGACAAGGGCAGACGCAGCAGAAGACTCGAAAGAAGGGTCAGTGACAGCAGTAGCAAGGAGACGCGTGACAGTAGGACTGGCAGCACGAAGAGAGTCCGACTCCGGGTCGGCAAGGGCAAGAAGAGAGGAAGCAGGAGGAGAAGGCAACAGGGCACGCAGAGGAGCAGTGGACGGACGCAGAGACATCCGGTGCGTGCCAGGGACAGGAGGAGGACGCTGACGCGAACCGCGACCACTAGTGCGCGCAGTATGGACAGGCGACGCAGGACGAGACGCAGGCTCACGACACTCAGTAAGACCTCCAGTCGGACCAGCGTAGGGAGAAGGAGCAGGCAAAGGGGAGGCAGGCTGTAGCTGTGACTGGACAGGCTGTGGACCCTCTAAGGGAGGAGGAGGAGGACCAGGGGAAGGTGTAAGACCAAGAACCTGCTGCAGGAGCGGAACGAAGTACGGTCGGGGCTGCGCGGCGACTTCAAAAATAGCAGGGACAGCACCAGTACCCCCAGCAGGAGTATCCGCTACATCATCAATTCCAGGAGCACCTCCAGTAGCTCCAGAACCCCCAGCAGCACCTCCAGAAGCCCCAGAACCCCCAGCAGCACCAGGAGCACTGCCAGCCGGACCGCCAGCGGTAGTCTCAGCGCCAACACCCTCAGCAGTACCAGCTCAAGAAGAACCTTCAGGCCCAGCAGCTCCAGTACCCCCAGTACGAGCACCTCCGGGACGCGCGGCAGCAGTACCCTCTGCAGCCGAAGAACCTCCAACACCAGCAGCACGCCTCCAGCGCCGGGCAAACCACTCACGCAGCTCCTGTGGGGAGAGTGGCTCTCGGCGAGACGAAGCACCTCCAGGCGGAGAACCGCCAGGCGAAGAACCTCCAGGCTCAGCACCCTCAGGCAAAGCACCTCCGGGCAGAGCACCCCCAAGCACAGCACCCCCAGGCTCAGCACCCCCAGGCCCAGCACCCCCAGGCTCAGCACCCCCAGGCCCAGCACCCCAAGGCTCAGCACCCCCAGACTCAGCACCCCCTGGCTCAGCACCCCTAGGCTCAGTACCCCCAGGCTCAGCACCCTAGACTCCGCACCCCCAGTCTCAGCACCCCCAGGCGTAGCACCTCCAGTCCCAGCACCCCCAGGCTCAGCTCCCGCAGCAGCACCAGAGTCACCAGTGACCTCGACAGGCTCAACCGCGTCTACCTGGGACGCACCTGAAGAGGCAGGACCCTGAGGTGGGAGGGGGTCGACCGGGGGGGGACCTGGTACCAAGAAGAGCGGGGGCGGGGGGAGGGACGGAGTGCGGTAGGGGAAGAGGCGGTAGTAGGGTACCGACTCGTTGAACGTGACATCCTTGTAGGACAGAACACGTCGAGAGG